AGAACATTCATCCAGCCTCTATCTTTTACTAGATTTAAAGCTAACTCAATAGCTTTCAATTCTGCATCGTGGCTTGAAGGAAGGTAACTCTTCCAGACCAGACCCTCAATCCATTCACCTGAGCTGGCTCGGCACACCACTGCACATCCTGCCTCTTTAGAGGAATGAATGAAGGATGCATCACAGTTGATTTTATAGAAGTTTGGGGGGGGGGGAGGAGACCAGTGAGAGAGGATGGGCTCTTGACTTTCGTTATTACACTCTAAGGAGAAGTAGAATTCCGAAGCAGCCCAAGTACACTGGTTGATTGCTATAGAGAGGGGGGTGTTTGAGTGTAATAACGACCATGATCTCATAGCAGACTATACGACCATTTTTTTGAATGGTATAGTCTGCTACATTAAGTAAAGAGCTAGATATAGCATGATTGGAACTTGGCCATATTAACTATTAAGTAGAATGTAATTTGGACAAGTACAAGTGCACAGCAACCGACTAAAGGCGCTGAACATAGGACTCAATTTAAAGAAAGACCAAGCTCTTAATAAGGGAATCATAAGCAAAGCTACTTAAGTAGGACCGATAAATCAATATAAAAGCTGGATAAATAGGTACAATATTCATTGCAACACCAATTACTTGTAGGTTATATAAATGGCCGTCATTCGTGCATTGAACAAGTCTTTTAACAAATGCTTAGAGTTTAGTTCTCAAGCACAAACCCAAAACACTGAAATCCTAAACCTTAAACATTCTTAGCTAATCTCAACTTCTTAACTTGGATAACTCTAATTTGATCCCTTACCCCTTTGATTGAAACAAAGTAATCATAATGTGACGAAATCAAACTAAGGGCATGTTCTCATAGACTGAACTCAGCTGAAATGAAATGAATATTTTGTAAGAGAAGGAAATTAGGAGCTGAACTGAACTAAACTGAAACTAAACATAAGAGAACGGCAAGAGCTTAAAATTAGTGAAAGATAAACAAGTGGTAAAATCACACAACACTCCTCTCCACTGCTGCTGTCTGCCCCTCATTCACAGCAAAAGGGCACCCATAACTTGTGCTTATATCTACATCCTCCAGTCCTACATCATCAAATTCCAATTCGCATTGTCACGAATTTTCTAGAATATAAGCCTCACCCAATTTCCATCACCCCACTACTAGTCAAATAATCAGCAACAAACTGAATATGTGCATTTGCATTACATCTATATTTTGAATCAGGAATTCAGGACTCACAAACTTCATTTTTGGGGCATCCTCTTGTAAGGTTTTGACATTAGATTTTAAAGCCAATTTTGATCACCAAAGTTACATATTGAATGAATCACCAGATTTCAAGCCACACCACACCACAAATACAACATTCGTTCAAAAATATGTTATCATATAATACAAACTCATGTCCTAAACCTCTCAAGAAAAGGTAATATCAACAGCATAAAACAATGTTAAAATTGGTGCTTACCAGAAGAGTCCACAGAATCCTGTTTTGCTCCACAAATGTTAATAACCAATCAGTAATCACGACTGCCAAAATATAATGGACCAACCAAGTGGAATACATAAACCAAAACCTATCTGATTTTCCTTTCACATACAACTTCATTACAAACAAACAAACAAAAAAAAAAAAAAAAAAAATGTTTTTGTGAAGAGTTTTTCAACCAATGAGAAAAGAGTTAACCAATTAATTAAGTTGTAGAAAAAATTAACATCCAACTAAAGAGAAAAGTAGAAAATTAAAGGTATTTATTTACAATACGAATTTTGCACAGATAAAACAAGAAGAAAGTTAAGACATGTTCTCTTAAATTCAGTTCGGCTCAGTAAATCAGAACAGACCCTTACTCGAGTTGGCCGCAGTGAGCGATAAGAATAGGTTGACGAGTTTTGCCAGTACTAGAACCAACCCTCTCCATAGCTCTAACAACCTCCATCCCTTGAATGACCTTTCCAAAGACAGAGTGTATTGCGTCGAGCCACATAGTCTTATGGAGACAATGCCTGGCTCAGCGTGTTTGATCTGAAACTTCTCATCAGCGAAGGTTTTTCCGTAGATTGACTCGATGTCACCGCCACCACCTTGGCACAAGAAACAGGGGATCACACGGTGGAATTTCGATCCCTTGTAGTGGAGTGGTAATCCGTTCGTCCCTAACCCTTTTTCACCGGTGCAAAGTGCACGGAAATTCTCGGCGGTTTTTGGGACTACGTCGGCGAAGAGCTCTATCACGATTCTTCCGGCTGCTTCATTGCCTATTGTAACATCTAAGAATACCTTTGGGTTTCCCACACTTGATAGTTTTATTTACTCCACTTTTTGGGGTTTTGTAATTTATAGAGAGGTAGTCTAGTCGGGAAGGTTTAGCATTTATTGTATTTCTGCTACGGGCCTGTGTTACAGGTTCTTAAGCTCAAGCCCAATTTTTTTTTCTTCACTTTTTTGAGAGGTTATATACATTTGAGTGTATTGTACATCCATCAGGATTTGTTCTCATTTTGAATTTTTAATAATTGTTTTTAGGAAAATTTGCATATTACAGCCATTTTAAAAAAATTTGCAAATTACAAACCAAAAGATCGTATAAATTGTAAATTGCAGCTCAATTCATCTTTTTCATCAGTTTACATGTCGAAAAATCTTCGGTTAAGGTTTAAGAGGCCATTTTACCTCTTAAGTAGCCGAATTGAGCTCGAAATTAGCAAAAAAATAACGTAAGTGCCTCGTTTTGCGTAACAAAAATGTATCAGTTTGTGGAAAATTGTAAAGATGAGACACTTACATTAATTTTTGCTAATTCCGAACTCAATTCGGACCCTTAAGAACTAAAATGACCCCTTAAACCTTAACCGAAGATTTTTCGACATGTAAACCGATGAAAAAGTTGAATCGGGCTGCAATTTACAATTTATACGAACTTTTGGGCTGTAATTTGCAAATTTTTTTAAATGGCTGCAATTTGCAAAATACGAACTTTAAATGGCTGCAATTTGCAAATTTTCCTTGTTTTTAATTTTTACTTTACGTTAGTTAGGTGTACGGTACATTTAGATATATATAACAAATTCTATCCTTTTTGGACAATACTTATGTTTATAACTCAAATTTACTCCCTTTGTTCCTTATTGATAGTCCCAAAATGATAGACCTATTTGCTTATTTCAATTATCATTAATATCAATTTTTGTAACAAAATTCCATCCAATTTACAACGATATTTGTATAAATTTAAATTTTCCATATAAATTTGTCTTTTCCATTTTACTTTTATCACTTTTCCTCTCTACTTTTTTGCATACCCAATGAAAATTTACTTTTTCAATGTATTTTTGCTACTTTTATTTGTGTTTATTAATTTCCATGAAAATTGTTCATAGGGGGCTATCAATTAGGGACAGAGGGAGTATTACAATATTCAACAATTATCCAATATTATTCAAAAAAATACTTCCTATGTTACTTTTTATCTTTAGTCACGTTTGCAAAAATATCTTTAATTACCGATAAACAAAAATTATAAAAAGTTGATATTATGAAAATATACATTGTGAGTCTACGAATCTAAGAATTTGTCATTTGACTATATTTTTTCCTTACATATAAATCACAAAACATGAAATCATAGTAAAAAAAAAAAAGTGTGTGAATAGTGCTGAAGTCAAAACATAAATAATCAATTTTAGAGAAACAACAGTAGCAGCCAGCGGTTGTTGCAACACGGCGGCACAGCGGCGGAGGTTTGCTGTTGAGACTCCACAGATCTGGTAAGACCTCTCCCCATTTATCAATTTCATCATATAATTTTCCAATTTGCTCCTAGAGTTTTAATTTATATTACTATATATTGTTCAATTTCACTTCAACTTTCTGTTAAAGTTCCTATCTTTAGCCCACTTATAGTTTAAAGCTGTTTTTTTTTTTTTACATCGTCATGTATTATTCTTGTATTTAATCTGAAATTTTTGGATTTTCAAATAATTTAGTTGAGTCTGTATATTATTCTTGTATTCAATTCATTATGCTGCTACTCCTACCATTGTTGTGATGATGTTGATCAAATTTTAATTGAGAGCGAGCATTTTATTAAGTTTCCGTTCTACCAAACAAGAGAAAACCGAGTTTTTCACCAGTACAAGTTTAATTTCTGTCCAAACAAACCTAAAAGACTTTTGTTTTTGTATTACTTCCTCAGTTCCTCCGTTCTTTTTTGGTTGACACGTTTCTTTAAACTCGTCTAACTATGCATACATTCAACAAGTAATATCTCTGATTCCACTCATTTATGGGTTTTTGGCTATGCCAGAAGCTTGTTATTTTTTTATTCATCTTGGACTTGTTTTTTTTATTTACTAAATTTGTTTCTTTAGATCTTTTTCTCTCTTGATACACTCCTGCTTAACTTTATATTTTTATTTTTTTGGGCTTATGTTTGATTTATTGTGTGGTTACTAGCATTTTGCTTCTTCGTGATTTATGTGCTCGTGTTTGTGTTATACATGTAATTTTTACGTAAGAGAACTATTGTTTAGAACCATGATGTATGACATTATCATGTGTGACTTTCATCAAATCACATACTAAATCTTATCATTCTAACTTAGGCTATGTTGTTGTGATTTCATATGAACTGCCCAGCCTAGTGAAAATTTCAGAGTTGGTTATTGGCTTGTCCTTTTGTATTTCTGATCTGTTTGTTAAATTCCAATTTTATTGATAAGCTTTATTTATCTTGTTTATAGAAGCCTGTGATCATTATGATGAAAAAGACATGGCCGGCCCTCAAATCTTGCAAGCATCAGGTGTGAATATGTTTCCTCTACCATCCACTAATTTTAATTTAAAATTTGCTACACGGTTTTCTCATGGTGATATTTGGTTCATGTGTGATTATTTACTCAGTGTTCGGAAGCAAGAGGTGTAGGTCTGAATGATCGACTAAGTGAGTTGCCACATGATATTCTGCTGTTGATCATGTCCTTCTTAACAATGAATGAAGCTGCTAGAACTAGTGTTCTTTCACGCAAATGGAAATTCATGTGGCAATGTTTTCCTGTCTTGTTCTTTGAAGCGAATTCCCCCACAATGGAAAGAATTAAAAAAGATGATCAATTACTTTTCCAAGAAAGATTAGGTTTGTATTAGATTACATGGTCTCATATTAATTGTTAAATTGCTGGTTGTACAGTGTTTTTTCTTTTTTTTTTTCTTGTTAGATTAGTATCTGATACTCTCTCCTTATACTTTCTTATCAGGTATTACGAGGTGGGTGAATAGCGTCTTGGAAGCTCATCGTGGTCTGACTATAGATGAACTGAGGGTGATTTTTGACTTGGATGTTGATTGTGAATCTTATATTGACAAGTGGGTGGTTTTTGCATTAGCAAAACACGTCAAGAATTGGACTTTACACCATTTTTCCACAGAAGTATTTCCCTAATTGACTGCTATACTTGGCCTCTTAAATGTCGTGTGCAATCATTTGATCCTCGTAATTTGGCTTCCCTAAGATCTTTGTGTCTTAAATACGTCAATCTTACTGTGGAAGACCTTGAGTGTCTTCTGAAATATTGCCCTGCCCTTGAGGATTTGCGCATTGTTGGAGGGGCAAGCGCTTTAACAGATATACATCTTCCTCATTCACCTCTTCAATTGAAACATTTAGAGGTATCATGTTGTCCCCGTTTGGCAAGCATAGATATTTTTGTCCCAAAACTTGTGTCATTCACCTACCAAGGGTGCCCCATAGTGCTGTGTCTCAGAGGTGCCTCCTTGCTTTCTGCAGTATCAATTGGTAATGGAGATTATCAAGGATCGGTTGTACCCTTTGCTTCAGGATCTCTTTCGACATACTTTCAGCAATTGGATTACTTAAAATGGGACTTGCTCCTGAACCCTCGATGCAGTAACATAATCCAGGTAATCCATGGAATTGATGCCGGCTTAGTAAATGAATACTCATGTCTACTTCGTATCTTGTTGTGCTTGCTTGTGTATTTACATAAATTTTGACATTTTCTTACACAATGGAATATGGGGATTAAGAACCCACCTACCATGTCAAACCTCAAGCATTTAGAACTCCATATTAAAGCAATCAATGATGGGAGCCTCGTTGGATGGATTAGCTTTATCGAGGCATCTCCAGCTCTCGAGAAATTAACTCTCAAGGCAGGGTACCCCTCCTTTTGTTATATTATTTTTGCATTGATTTTGATCTGCTCAACATTGATCCAGGTTTTCCCATCTTGCAGTTTTCGGGGAATGGTCGGATATATGATTTGTATAAAATGAAAGAAATCAAATACAATGGGCGCCCCTTCACGAGTTTGAAGACATTGGAGCTTTTTGGGTTATTAGGACAACCAATTGATATGCAATTTGCAACCTTCATAGTTGAGAATTCCATCATGCTGAAAGATGTGATTTTTCAGTTACCAACGTTGAATTATGCGCCATTTTACAAACATGCAATGAATCGGATTCGGAAGTTCAAAAGGTGTTTGCCGCAAGGGGTCAACTTTATCTTGTACAAGTTGTTGGATCGCAACGCGCATGTTTCCCCTGGCTCAACATAGTTTCTACATTAAACAGTACTATATTTAGGCACAACAGTAGACCAAATATTACAGGTCAAACCACTTTTTTAGGGCTCATTAAATATTGTGATTGATTTTGATAAAATTTGCAATTCCCTTAAAAAAAAAAAGAGGGAGTAATTATAGGCTCATAGAGTCATAGTCTATCTTGAATATTCCCTCTATTTCGTAATAATTGCAATAACAATCATTGCAACAAAAAAAAAATTATAATATGAAAATTAGTTAGTGGATGTATATTTAATTGTTCAGACAAAGTAACCCTTATAACACTGATTAAGTAACTCTTTGTAACAAACTAAGGGTATGTTTACATTTACTGAGCTGAGCTGAAATGAGTATTTATAAGAGAGGGAAATTAAAAACTACACTAAACTGATTGGAGCTGAACTAAACTGAGTAGAGCTGTAATGAATTGATTGGAGCTGAAATTAGGTAAATGTGAACAACTGAACATGCCTTAAATTAAGTATTGTACTCCGTAACTATTATGAACGATCATATAAATTAAGTGTCATGATTATTACCAGAAGAAGGGGGTAAAGACAGATAAGTTCTAAATAATAGGATCTTTTTATTTTGAAATAAATATAGCAAAAACATCAATGCCAATATGCCAAAGTCCCAAAATTATTTGGGTCGGCAGACATTAATCGCCACAATGATTCTTCCGTGAATAAAATACAGTATAACAAGAAAAGCTATTAAAGGCTGACTATTCACATGTAATTTCTTTATAAAAATTGGTTTCAAACACTCACTCCCTATAAGTAAAGCAAAACCATGGCGGTATAGTTAAATAATGGAAAAAAAAAACACAGATCATGAAGTTGTAATTAAAGGAACTTCAGTTAAAGTTCCCATATACATTGTGATCACATATATACATCCAATCTATTCTAATGATGATTCGGATGCAGCGTCATCCATTGTCGAATTTGACATTGTTTCTGACTGACTGCCATTCTCACTGTCCGAAGAACTGGATGACTTGTCTTCTACAGGTTGATTCAAGCACCAATACATTATGCTTGCCGTTAGAGTGAGGATCATCTTTTGGTTGACCTGATGAACATGATTCAAGTATTAACAGTCTTGTATTTGGCATTGCACGTTGATCATTCATGGCTAAACAAGGTCGACAAAGTAGTAGATGCATTTTATTTATTCACAACAATACTGCGATTGTTTGATGACTTTGAGCTATTAACAATGCAGACTAGAACATGACAACAGATTAGCTACTAGATTCAACACTTATGTCATTCGTCTTGTGTGTTCAAGAACTGAAGCAACTAAGAAGAGAGCGACGAATAATACATACCTCAGTGATGTCTTCAGGAAGCAAAAATATCGAACATCCAAGTTTCCTTGCAATACTGATAATGTATGAAGCGTTCATTGTTTTCTCCTCGTCTGAATATGACAATTTGCACAATTAGTGGAAAACTGTTAGGAATATAGGAAAATATATTATTGTGATATATTTTCCATATAGATCTTATGATATTATATTTAGGTTAATAATATATCTTAGTGATATTTTAAGATAGATTTATGGAAGTTTATATGATAGAGTTTATATTGTGTAGGTTATCTTATGTAGGCTATATTATTGTGATATATATTCCTAACAAAAACATTTAAGCTGAATATGCAATAGCAAACAATTACTGCTAGGCCCTGTTAGGTAATGTACCAATGGTTGTAATGGGATACTCAGTCAAGGAGATTTTGAATTCCACCTTATTATTATACTTTTCTTGGTTTAATATGTAGCAATGCCATTATTCAAGTTAGTATCTTATGCAGCCAGAAGAAAACAAGGTGAGACGTGATACTATCCTATGAAACTTTCATGCAACTAAATGCAGCTTGCAACATGATAGCAGTGAGAATTCCGGAAGTTCATAGTCTACATACCACTTAATCCCTTCGTGACAAGGCTCCAATTTACTACTCTTGGCTGCACTGCACTTAGAAGCTCAAGGAAAAAAATTCCATCTGATAAACTCTTATCCTGCAAATCAGATTATCAAGGTTTAGATTCTACTGAGCTCACGATGTCCCTCTCAAGCATAAAAAGACAGTATTACTCAAACAATCAACATGCTACACAACTTATTTCAGCATTTTGTGTGAAAATTGAAACTAGTGCCAGATTGAAAGAGCATCCTTCATGATAAAAAAAAGTCATAATAAAAACAAGACTGGCTTAGGAGTGACAAATGGATCAACCAAAACGAGATCAAGTCAGGCTCAAGATCAGGAGGCTGAGCTCAACCAGATTATCATCACCCATACAAAGGCAGAGCCTCTTTAGCATTGTCTTGATAATGTTGATGGTAAGAGTTATATGAGTGGATTTCTATACCTTAAAACTGTTCATACGAGACTGCCCTCTTGAGTTTTTCACTAGATTGTTAGCCCATTCTAGTATATCCGCATCTGTGATTTCTTTCCCATGAGAATGGAACCTTAAATTCCTTAGGAGTTGGAGCATGTGGCATCGCATCAATTGCCACAAGTAAGCTGAAAATATATAATTCAAAACCATCAATCAAACAGAATACTCCATTTGTGTAATGATGTAGTGTTAAGTACATTGCATTATTCAAATAATCAACAATGACCACATACCTAAAATCAATTTTTTATTTCCTTGCACAATATCATTTCCAGCTATATTGACCAATGAAAACTTCAATTGCTTCCCAAGTTTTAAAACTTGATTACAATTCTCAACCTTCTTAAAGGGCATCTTGATGGGTGGCTTGTTTGCAATCTTCCAATTGACAATTTTTGGTGAGACCTTATCCAGCGTCTCCAAGAGTATCCATCTGCAAGCAAGAGAATTCAAAGCATGATATAAATCACAACATCACATAAAATGGAGCAACTACATTATTTGTACTTCGTCTAAAATGAAATACCAAATAAGTTTAAGATGTAATCTCCATCAGTACATTTATGTTACATAATTCAATATAAAGTGATCAATTGATAGAATGTACTCACCCATCCCTTAGGTCTTCAAAAACATTGTCAATGCACATTGTATTACCAAGACTATTTAACCAAAAGCGGAAAACTCTTTCTTCTCGTGAGACTTGAACATCATCTGGAGAAGTTTCAAGAAAAGAGATGTTTTTTGTTTGGGTAGAGAGCCCATTCCTGTCATAGAAACAGTAGATGAATTTCAATTTGTTCCTCTTGTCTCAATAAGATTAAAGAGATAAACACAATAAACATACACTGTATTAGCATGATGCAAGCAAATACATATAGGATATCTCTGTGAATGGAAATTCAAAGCCCATATCCATTGATACATATGGATCACTGAATTTGCATCTTGCCATTCATTAGAAACTTAAAACTACAGAATGGTCCAAATAACTGGTTTGAAACTGTCATTTCTCACCTATGCTGAAATACGTGTGCAACAAAGGCAAGGTTGAGATTTGGTGAACCTTCCACTATGTCCTTAGCTGTCAAGTATCTTTTACATCCCATCTTATCAGCATGTTCAAGTACTAAATTTGCTTTCTTTAGAGGATCCTTTACTGTCAATGTCCTTGGATTACTGTGCTCAGGGGCAAGGACATTTAAGAGATGAGCATAAGCTTCCCCATCCTACAGAAAGTTATCAGTTTTTTATCAGCAACTCCATAAGCAAAATACTAAGTCTGGTCCAGGGGAAAGATCAAGTGAAAGAAACAAAATTGTCTCGTATCAACATAAAAAAATCACATGCCATTACGGATATAATTCAAGGATTCATTGCAGCTTATATAATAGAGAAAAAAAATTACGGAGTTTATTAAACATTTACCTTTATATCAGAGGAGAAATTAGAGACAACTTTCTTGTATTCAGACTTTTTAAGTTGGAAGTTCATCCATCTCAACAAGATTTTCTCTGGTGGAAGACTCAACAACTCTTCTGCATCCTAAGAGTTTGAGAAACTTAATTAGGTAATGAGATTGTATTGGAATTAAAAAAGATTTAGAATCCATGCATCATCTATGGAAGATACTCACCTCACTGCTGTCCACTAGCTCAACCAACTGAGGTGTTTTCTTTAAGTTGAGATCTGCCAAAAGTTGTATCTGCAGATAAACAATGCATAAGATCATTTTTTATCTGATTGTAGCCTCATAGGTGTAATGTCTGTACAGTATGCATAAGCTATCAAGTTTGACTTCTAATACTTCCCAATTGAAGTGAATTCACAGTTATAAAGAAAAGGAGCATTTACATCATGATTGTGAAAAGTAAATATCTCCTACACTGTAAGATAGTATGATAGATGCATACCTTGATGATTTGAGCAATTAATCCCACCACAAGATGACGCTGTAATCAAACCATTAGTGATATCAGTATTTCTTGTCAAAAAATTACAACAATCAGTAAAATTAAGATACAGCCAACAACATGAAGTTTATTATACAACATGAAAAAAACATAAACAGGAAAAAGGATCCAGGATATTAAAAGGATTGTTAAGACTAAATGCCATTTGCTTATGTACCCCTAAAACTTCATATTCTTCTATATGCTGAAGTATTATAAAAAGGAACTTCTTTCAGCTTCACATAGTTTAAATTCGCATACAATATAGGAGTAGTTGAAATGTCTGACTTCTAACTTTCTAAGATTCAGCTTCTTTTGAATCAATTGCAAATTAGCAAGGGTTTTTCCATGATATATCCATAATAGTGTTAGTTTTCCTTTATTCTTCAAATTGATACCATGACTGTTGAGTAAAATTCATTGACTGTTGAGTAAAATTGGCGAAGACAAGAAGATGACATACAAATGAAGAATCATCTCGAAAAGTAAATTCATCTTACCCTTCCTTCAATGAAATCTTGAGTACCAATATTAACCACTGTACACCCAATAGCCTTAGCAGAATTAAGGCATAGAGTGTGGTTTTCATTTCTCTCCCACGGATTGAGCAATCTTTTCATGTTAATTGCACGTTCATCAATCGTCCCAGGAACAGCAACATTGATAAGTTTACTGCATTTTTTACCAAGTTAAGTTTAAAAACTTGCCACCATATCAAAGATAATGAAACATAAGAATTGTAGTACAAATGTGACAAGGGTAAGAGTATTGACCATAAAAGAACACCATCCTTAACAATCTCAAACAAATCATTGGTTGAAGGATCAATAGGAAGAAATTGCTTCAAGAACTTGTCTTCGCCTAGATAATTGTTGATATGAGAGACATACGACGATTTCTCCGACTCACTTATAGTATGAAGCAATGTTGTTGTAGCAGCCTTAAGAAAGGCAGATGAATTCTTAGCTGGACTTCCCATTTTTGAACTGGCATGAGCGTGCAGTTTCAAATACACCTGTATTCACCCACAAAGTTCTTCCTCTTTTAGCCCACATTTATTAGTTCTCTTTACTTTGCACATAATTATATCTAAGGAAAAGAATATGATAACAACTTCACTGTTTTAAACACTTTTTTCTTAATTGCCCCCACATAATTAGTTAACTTTTTCCTAACAAAATTTAGTTAATTTTCAAACCCAAACTTAACCTTTTCCTAACTTTTCCAATATCCGATTACAATAATCCAGATTGATATTACATCCTTTACCAAGCTCGATCAAGCTAACAACTACATCCACAATCAACAGTCACGTAAATTACACAATTTGAACTAGTAACGCGACAACAAAATCTAGACCGACAGATTAATTACAATTTGAACTAGTAACACGACAACAAAATCTAAACCGACGGAGTAAATACAAATTGAAATAGTAACGCGACAACTGATTCTAGACTGACGGAGTAATTACAAGTGCTTTTCTCTAAATATAATTTTCTCAGTTGCACAAAAACTTGTCATCTCCTAATCCAAAAATAAAAATATTGTAAAATGATCAAACCATAACCATTAAATTGATGATTAAAGCTCCTAAATCACTGTTAAAACTCCTAGTATCAGAAATATAAGACGAAATAAATCTCCAAAATCAAATTAAACTCATAAACAAAAACAAAATCAGAGACTTACCCTAAGAAAGAGCTCAAAATCAACTTCATCATTCATATTCTGATAATTACTTCTCAGAAACGAATCTCTCTCTTCTTCGGTCAAATTCTCTCCAACAACCTTAAGCTTCGACATCTTCGACGGCAAATCGGAAAGCGTAAGAGGTCCACTCTCTCTCCTAAGCGTATGATACTACATTCAAGCAACAAAAAACACAACAAATCAACAATCATTCAAACTATAAGATCTGAAAAATCACGAAAAACAACAAGATTAATCGAATTGAACCTGAGATTTTAACGTTCGAAGCTCAACTTGAGTGAACTGATTATGAAGCCATGGATCTGAGCACAATATTCCGATGTAACCTGCCATATAATTAATTAACCGAGAAAATAACTCAAAATTAGGGATTTGATTGAAGATTTCTGGAAAATTGTTGATGTTGTTCGTGAAATGTATGAGTAGAATTCTCTCTCCTCCAAACTTTGCAGTGAAGAGAGAGAGAGAGTGAGAGGGAAGAAGAAGAAGAGAGTAGGCTGAAGAAGCAGAGCTGTCAGACTTGTAGAGCAAAAGAAGTTTTCTTTTTTAATTTTTTGTTGTTGGAATTCAAATAATGACAGATTTGTCCTTCTCTCCCTCGTTTTACCGTTGGGTTTAAGGGTTGCTTTTCTACTAATTTTAAAAACTTTGCAAGTTATGACTACTGTTGACTATACATTAACGTTTTTGTAGGTAAGATTTACATAATAGGTACTTCGACCCAACAACCCCCAAAAATACACATTATTAAAGTGTTTAATCGTTGCAAATAATGTGTAACGGAGGTAACACGAAGTATTCAATATGTATCCCTCTCGAATAAGTTCATGATATTCCGTAATGTTGAATGACATCACACCATATGCATCGGATCTGTTGTGGGAGAATGACGAAACTCAATAAATCATCTTTATAGTGATAATAAAACTACTTTTGATCACGTCGCGTTAAGATTATAATAAAGGATAGTTCATACAAACTTGTCATTCGGCCATATTTTGCTTGACCTGATATGAACAATTAGTCAAATTGATATCGATATAAAAATTTAAATCTTGTGATCATACTATATAAAATTGTCAACAACACATTTAATATACAACTAGAGACATGTAGATCTACTATTTTACCAACTTATGTGTGTGTATTTATATCCCTTACATTATACTCAAATTTTGCCAATTTTAGTTGGCTTTAGTCTCACTTGCAATGAATTTACCAATTTTACTCCAAACTAAATAAATAACATCTCAATTATCTTGTATCAAATTGCTCATAATAAAATAATTGTGACCTAACTCAAATACAAAATCAGATTCTAATAGTTTCTATATTATCGGCAAGATGCCCTCAAATACAAACAACATACAAATGCAAACCCCTAAAATGTGAGCACAATGAATGGTGAATGATGATCAATAGTTTAGTCGGTTTATATGAGGGTGGAAATTGTTATACGTACCCGGATGACGGGATGAGGGGGTAGTAGTGTAAAATTTGAGCCATTTCACATGCTTTGTTTATCATCTTTACTCCGACTAGTATATGATGGCCAAACACGTGAATGTAATCAAACTTTATTACGTAAATTAAAATGCAATTTTAAATTAAACCAAGCACTGCATGTGAGATAAGCTTTACTTTATGAAGGGGTGGGGAAGGATTATGGGGATATTTTCGTCATTTTAACAAATAAGGGCCCCACTTAACACCAATACATGAAGGCTGGAGCCTAAAGATATATTTCTACTTTTTTAAAAAGTTTGAAAGACATGGATAACCCAACGGCTACTTTGTTTGAATGGGCTCACTAGCTCTCACTAGTCACGACTCACAACTCACAAGACTCACGACACTAGTCACTCTTATTCTAGATCTTTCTCTTGCCTCAAATTATTGGAATTTATTTACTGTAATTAGTAAGTGTAAAGAATTAAAAGAAAGCCGCAAAGGTAAGACATAATTTATGTAAATAAAATTTGATCTTATACTATAAATTACTTGTACCATTTAAGTTCAATATTGTATTGAATCTCTTATATTTCGTTTTGTTTCAACATATACGGAGTGTAAGATATAATACAATTACTCTATATCAATGCAGCTAGAGAATTATATGTTGTAAATTTATGTCATATACTCATATATGATCGTTGGTGAGAGTGAAGGATAGCTCAGGTGGTTAGGGCTCCCTTCCCGATTTCAGGTAATCCTGGGATCGATTCTCAGCACCCGCCCTTAATCCATGTTTAAAAGGTTGTTTTGTAGGAGATCTCTCATAGTCTCCCACCATTTACATTATACGTAGTATAAATAATGTAACAGAATTATTGATGATACTTCAAAATCCTTAATTGTAGATTCAGATTTTCAGACATCAAAAAATAGAAGACATACACCTAACAAAAATCAATTACAAAAGCAAGAACAGATAGCTAAGGTAGCTAGCTGTGAATCACTAGCAAAGATAGGCACACAAAAAAATGGATCAAAAAATAAATAAATTTAAGAAAAAGAGGATATAAAAAACAGGTAGGCCAATGGACTGATGGCCCATTCATAGCATTAAAGGCAAGCAAACAAATATGGGCCTTATTAGCTGATTTGCAAGTACCAAATATCCATTTTAAGTCGGTGGGGTTAGTAACCTTTGCTTCAAATCAGTTTAAAGCTTTAAACCACATAAATAAAAATGAAATGAAAAAAAATACTATTAATTTTTATGAATCAACATAATTTCCCTTATTTTGTATGGAATATTTAAATTTAAAAGGAAATATCTTACACGATATCAAGTATCATATTGAGGATATTTGGTAGGATATATTTTTGGGGGAATATTTGGTGTTTATCTTTTATATTGTTTCCTATTTTCTAGTGACCTAATTAAGGTAAATCTAGGAATTAGCATTGTATATATATTTTAGCCCCCGATTAATGAAAGTTAAGCTGTGAGTTTTACACAATTCTACATGGTATCGGAGCCTTGAGTTTTTTTTCTCTGTGAATTTCGACGATGGGGGACACTCCTCCTCCTCCACCGCCACCAGCAAAAATCGAATCCAACTCCCCATTCTACCTTGGACCGCAAGATCGGCCCGGGGATTACATAACCTCACAACACCTCAAATTAGATACTTTTCACGATTGGTCTCATGCTGTGCGAATTGCTCTATGCTCTCGCCGGAAGTTTGGTTTTCTTGATGGTAGTATCACCACCTTCGAGCCGCCGTGTACGAAGGATGATTGGGTAACAATTCAATGTATGTTAGTTTCTTGGCTCATGAACACAATCGAACCCGAGGTAAAATCTATGCTTTCCCATTATGATGATGCTAAAAAATTGTGGGATGATTTACATGAGCGTTTTTGTCTCGTTAATGGCTCTAGAATTCAACAGATTAAATCTGAAATTAATAGATGTGAGCAATTGAAAAACATGACAGTTGCTGCTTATTATAGTAAATTAGTAGTTTTGTGGGATGAACTTGATCGATTGGAGCCTTTAATTTCTTGTCAATGTGGGAAGTGTACCTGTAATCTTGGGAGGCAACACGCACAAAGGCGTGATGGGGATCGTCTCCAACAATTCTTGCTCGGTTTGTACTCCGAATATTATGTTGCTTTGCGTTCGACATTACTCTCTCAAGATCCCCTGCCCTCTTTGAACAGAGCATATGAGCAAGTTTCACAGGAGGAGAATGTTAGAGGAATTTCCCGTGCAAAGGAGGACCCTGCTCCTGCCCTCGGGTTTACTGTACGGACTGCTGTAGGGAGGGGTCGTACAGGTGGCGCCGGTGGCTTTGACAGGCAGCTGCCGGTGTGTGACAAATGTAAGAAAGTGGGTCATGAAACCGTGAAGTGTTGGTCCGATAAAATATGTGCCTATTGCAAGAAACGGGGCCATGAAGAATCCCGTTGTTATGACAAGCATGGCTGGCCGGAGGGTGCTGCTGGCAGCCAGGGGGGGCCACCCGCAGCTAGTCGTGGTCGGGGTGGTCCGGTGAAGGCTAATGCTGTTTCGGGTGCTGGCTTGAATTCGGAGGATACAAGTTCCTTTGCTTCGGGTCGCTTATTTTCTAGTGAACAATGGAAGGCGATTACGGGATTGATGGGTAATGCTACTCTTTTCGATAATCGTTTGAGTGGTAAGTTTGATGATACTTCTTGGATTATTGATACAGGAGCTACGCATCATGTCACCGGAGAAAAACATTGGCTTTTTGATACTAAAAGTTTTGAATGTCCGGTTGGTTTGCCCATTGGAGACACGGTTTCGGCATCTCTTATTGGCTCTGTTTGTTTATCGGACAAGATTACTCTCACCGGAGTACTCTATGTTCCTAATTTGAGTTGTAATTTGATTTCTGTCTCTCAACTCAATGATGACCTTAACTGTACTGTCCAATTTAACTCTTATATTTGTGCTATACAGGACCAAACGAAGGAGCTGATTGGAACGGGAACTAGGAGGGACGGATTGTTTTATTTTAGCAAAACGGATTTGGTGCATCATGTGAGTGCTCTTGCTGCGAGTTCAGAGTTGGAGTTGTGGCATCGTCGTATGGGTCATCCCTCCGAGAAAGTAGTTAAGTTACTTCCTACAGTTAGTAATAAAGCTTGTTTAGATAAAGGATGTGAAGTATGTATGCGTGCTAAGAATCCTAGAGATAGTTTTCCTTTAAGTGACAATAAAGCATCTAGAATTTTTGAAAAAATTCATTGTGATTTGTGGGGTCCGTATAGACATGTTTCGTCATGCGGTGCCCGTTATTTTTTGACTATTGTGGATGATTATTCTAGAGCCGTTTGGATTTATTTAATGAATGATAAAACGGAGGTCCTTCGTATGTTTTTGATGTTTGTTGCTATGGTGGAAAGACAATTTTCACAAACCATAAAACTTGTGCAAAGTGATAATGGTACGGAGTTTAATTGCTTGCGTGATTTTTTTGATGCTACGGGTATTATTTTCCAAACCTCTTGTGTGGGCACACCGCAACAAAACGGGAGGGTAGAGCGAAAACATAAACATATTTTGTCAGTTGGGAGAGCTTTGAGATTCCAAGCCAAATTACCCATTTATTTTTTGGGAGAGTGTGTTCTTGCCGCGGCTTATCTTATTAACCGTACTCCAACTCCAGTGCTACAAAATAAAACCCCATTCGAAATCCTCTTTGATAAACCCCCTATGTTTGATGCCATTCGTACTTTTGGTTGTTTATGTTTTGCACATAATCAGAAAACTAATGGGGATAAGTTTGCAAGTAGAAGTCGGAAGTGTGTTTTTGTAGGCTATCCGTTTGGGAAGAAAGGGTGGCGTTTGTATGACCTTGAATCAAAGGTGTTTTTTGTGTCTCGGGATGTTAAGTTCATTGAAGATGTTTTTCCTTTTGCCACTCCGGAAGATGTAAACATAGAGCCTCATGTTTTTTATCCGGGGTATGATGTTCATGATGATTTTATTGAGTTTGAGGGGGATTCTTATGTTGATGTGGTCACTAATGGGCATGATGTTGCCATTGAGGGTGGCACGGGGTCCGAAGCAGTCGAGCAGGAGAAACCCGCGGGCGCGGGGCAGCCCGCAGCCCAGCAGCGCCAGGCTACTGCCACCCCGCAGGTGGAGCCCGCGGGCGCGGGGTCAGCTGCTCTGCCAGTGGCAGATTCTGCTGGCAGCACACGAGCAGAGCAGCTGCCTCCCCCACCAGTGCCGACGGTAGTACAGGGGCAGCAGCCTCACAGCCCTTAGGGCGCGGTCTTCGAGATAAATTCCCAAATGTACGGCATAGAGATTTCGTTACTCACTCCGTTTTTGCTCACAATCCGTCTCCCTCTACTCCGTCCTCCAACACTCCTTCAGGTACTCCCTATCCTTTAGCACATTATATAAATTGTGACAAGTTTTCTGTGAATTATTGTAAGTTTCTGGCAGCTATTGTTGGTGGTCATGATCCGAAATCTTTTAAAGAGGCCATGAAACATGAAGGTTGGAGGAAATCTATGCAAGAGGAAATAACGGCTTTGGAAGATAACGGTACATGGACCTTAGTGCATCTTCCCCCGGTAAACGTGCACTAGGGAGTCAATGGGTGTTTAAGACAAAATATTTGTCTAATGGTGATATTGAACGACTTAAATCTCGTTTGGTTGTTTTTGGTAATCATCAGCAGGAAGGCATAGACTATGGTGAAACGTTTGCACCGGTGGCAAAAATGACAACAGTTCGGGCTTTTCTTGCAATTGCAGCATCAAAGAATTGGGAACTTCATCAAATGGATGTGCATAATGCTTACTTACGTGGTGATCTTGATGAGGAGGTATACATGAAATTACCTCCCGGGTTTGAAAGTGAAGATCCTACATTAGTGTGTCGCTTGGACAAGTCCTTGTATGGGTTGAAGCAAGCACCGAGGTGTTGGTTTGCAAAGCTCACTACGGCTTTAAAAGGGTATGGCTTCATTCAATCTTACTCTGATTACTCTCTTTTCACATATACTAAAGGCAAAGTTCAGATTAATGTCTTAGTATATGTAGATGATCTTATTATTTCTGGTAATCATTCCGCTGCACTTGTTGGTTTCAAGGCTTATCTTAGTGATTGTTTCAAGATGAAGGATTTAGGTCCTTTGAAATATTTTTTGGGCATAGAAGTTGCTCGTAGTGCTTCAGGTTTATTTTTATGTCAACGGAAATATACGTTGGATATTATTTCTGAAGCAGGTTTGTTAGGGGCAAAGCCGAGTGGTTTTCCCATGGAGCATAACCACAAGCTTGGTCGTGCCACAAGTGAGCTTCTTGCGGATTCGGAGGCGTATCGTAGGTTGGTTGGTCGTTTGATTTACCTAGGTGTCACTAGACCGGATCTAGCATACTCTGTTCATATCTTGTCTCAGTTTATGCAACAGCCGCGTATTGAACATTGGGAAGCGGCCCTTCGTGTTGTTCGTTATTTAAAAGGTACTCCGGGCCAGGGTATCTTGTTAAGTGCTACTAGTGACCTCACCTTGGAAGGATGGTGTGATTCGGATTGGGCGGCTTGTCCTCTAACTCGTCGCTCTGTTACAGGTTGGTTGGTTTTTTTAGGACATTCACCCATTTCTTGGAAAACTAAAAAGCAACCAACTGTGGCAACATCTTCTTGTGATGCTGAGTACAGGGCAATGTATGCTGCCACTTGCGAGCTCAAGTGGCTAAAGGGTTTGTTGTTGAGTTTGGGTGTTCATCATCCTAAGGCGATCAAATTGTTTTTTGATAGTCAATCTGCTCTGCACATCGCAAAGAATCCGGTCTTTCATGAAAGGACCAAACATATCGAAGTCGACTGTCACTTTGTTCGTGATGCAATTATTGATGGCTTGATTTCTCCTTCGTATGTTCCTACGACTACTCAATTGGCCGACATTTTCACGAAGGCTCTTGGGAAGTCACAGTTTGATCATGTTTTGTCCAAGTTGGGCACTTATGATCCTAGTGCTCCAACTTGAGGGGGGGTATTGAGGATATTTGGTAGGATATATTTTTGGGGGAATATTTGGTGTTTATCTTTTATATTGTTTCCTATTTTCTAGTGACCTAATTAAGGTAAATCTAGGAATTAGCATTGTATATATATTTTAGCCCCCGATTAATGAAAGTTAAGCTGTGAGTTTTACACAATTCTACATATCAGCTAATAGATAGGATTCATTCCATTTGACTTATTTTGTTCAAATGAGAAAAACTAATTTACTTATGAAATAGCCTAAAATAAGCTTATCTTAAATTATCGAACAAAACTGTGTATCTTAACTAAATTTATTAGAATTTATCTTTACTTATACTTCGCATTTCATCTTATTTTGTTTGAGATGAGTAAAAAGATTGAAAATAAGTCGTACATGCCAAGTCCTAAACTATCTAGGATTTTAGACTTCAGAAAGTGTAGCTACACCATTAAGCATGCTAATATAGTATCATTAAATTGATCTCTATAATGACTAAAAATATATTATGTAGGTAAGTATTTGCTGTATTTTGCAATTTGCAACTAAAAAACCCAACAATAGAAATCAATAATGTGTTGTTAATGTTATAAGAAAATAATTAAGGTGATCCTAAGTTGTGGACCTCACATAACACATGCTTTTCTGATCCTTGTAATTGAACACTTGAAAGGCTGAAAGCACCATCATTACTAGATGATTCTGCTTACATGATTCATAAAGCTAAAGTTTTAATTCGTGGTATATTTGCTTTTTATTCGTCTTTGGTCACTGATTAGAAAGCTCCCTCTCTAATCTTGCCTACAGATTATGTGTTACTATCATTTGTTTGACAATAGTAATTAGCAAAGATGAAAGACACTTTTTGCTTTTTTTTTTTTTTAACTAGTTTGAGAATGCATGAGAAAATTAAGCATAAATCGATGTGATTAATACATTTAATTTGATAATTCCTTTTTTAGATTTTTATATGCAAGAATGCAAGCCTTAGGGTTGTATATACGAAGTATCATTTTCTTCATTACATAACAATAACACTATTGTCATGGACTTTGGAACACCAAACTCCTCTTCTGCACCGCAAGACTAGTTAAGGGTTCATCTAAGGAAATCCTACAAATCTACTTTACCACCGATAGTGCCTTAATTTTGGAGGATGTATCAAGTAGGGATGATAACAAGCCAAGTCGAGGTTGAGACAACGTGGTTCAACACATAACAGTTACATCAAACTCGATCCTACTTAAGAACTTTTCCAGGCTAAATACGCTCCTTTGCCTTGGGTTCACATATTGTTGTAAGGACAAGTGAGAAAATTTGCTCATAGGGGCCTTGGGCTTGGCCCATCCCATGGAGCCCAGACTGTCACCTTGATAACAATCCATCATAAATCAACTTTCTGTATTATCAAATCCCAATCACAATCGTAATAATCCGATTTCACCAACTCTTTAGATTTCTTGAGTAGTTAGCATAATAACCAAAAACAATAATTGAAAAATAACAAAGGGTTTCTTCAGAAATCGATAACGTAGTAAGTTAGTAGCTGTTCCATTAGTAGTACAAATGCCCAAGATCCTGCCTCATACTATACATACTGTCCATTTTTAACCTGTTGACAAAATCTGACAATTCGAACCAACAAATAGATCCAGAATTGAGATAAATGATAAATTGCTCTATATTCATCAGAAAACAATTTTTTTCGAAAGTAAAACATTAGGTACATAATTTAGATACCAAAAAATAATTCTATCAACAGACAGACAGTGATATTGCAGATAAGGCCACTAGAACTTTTACTTTTCTTCTTTTGAAGTATAGATGGTTGCCATGATAAGAAAACATTGTCGGAAGACTATAACAGATGTATAAATAATAATCCAGCTTCCTAACTCCTACGACTACATACACGTGTCAATTTGCCCATACACCTATATATATCATTTTACCTTACAATCTATGGAGCTCATGGTCTGTAGGCAGGGGGAAAGTTGCCCAAGTCTGTGCTTATCGCCTGAGTGTTTGATTGCAATGAACTATGTACAATTAGTCTGCCAAGCTTTGAATGCCATGCACCTCAACCAGTGTCAGACTGATCAAAGATTGATTTCAAACTGAAGATCCTTCACTGCAGGGCTTGCAGCTATAGTTGAATCTCAAAATGCTATCTCTTCAAGTACTTCAAGTGTTTTTTGGTGTACCTGAATGAATGGTTTCAAGGTGAGTCAACATTATATGCACATCGTCAAAGGGAATAGGAAACAATAAAAGAAATGAATGATAATGTAACAGTGTCGTGAGGATATTCAAGGATAACATGTGATAGGGGAGGAGAAATTATGAATCATCTCCCTTGGCATATTGATCCAAAATGAAGACAAAAGGATGGTTACCCATTCTAGATGCTGTGCAGTGATGCCTGAGACATTTCCAGCATATATTCCCCCAAGTACCTGAAAGAAGAGACAAGATGGGTTAAAGTCCATCCATCATCAATTTATGCCACAAACAGTTCTTGTAGCTTCTATTCAGGAATCAGGATGTAAGAGGTCATGTATATGAACTAATTGTCACTCATACCTTCGTTACAGTCTCGAGAAAAATTCCAGGACGCACTGGAGGCGCATTTCTCCCAGATAAACTTTCCTGAATTATTCATATATAGGACGTCAACAAACTGAAATAGTGCACAACGAAGGCAACACCCTAATAACCGATTTATCATACTTACTCTTCCTACAACTCCACGAGGACCACCAGTTCTGCCATCTTTGTCAGTGCTGGGATCATCTGCACCTTCATCCTTACCTAGCATTACATTTCTGATCATCTCCAGGACCGTTTTACCAGGTTTTAATGCTACTAGCTTGGTCAAATAATTTACCTGAAGCATGGTGAGGTAGATTTGTATTCATTAGAAAGATTTAATCATAGGAAGAAAAGAAAGCAGCAAGAAGACATACTTTTGCATGCTGATACATGATATTACGAGATTTGAAAAGAATACATGAATGCCTGAGTAACAACATTATTATTGATAATAAAGAGTATCCAACTAAAGATGCCAGAAATCTGTCAAACCTCTGACTCAGGGAGAGTATTAAAACCACGATCATTTCTTTCGTCAAGTATTCCTCCTCCCATCATATTTCGAGCTTCTTCTCTGATTAAGACAAGCCTGGCAAGCAGCTTTCTATCTGGAATAACAGGTCGAGTTTCCATTGTCTGTCAAAGTTACTTGAGTGAGTAACATTAACCATTACTGGTTTTACATCAAGTTAATGAAACAAAAATAAAATTATGGTGTGAAAGGACTGAAAGTTAGTATCTAATCTAACATTATCAAGGGAGTAATCAACTATATCATATTTTTAGGGGGAAGGGGGTGTAATCTGCATCCATTTTTTTCCCCATTCAGGTGCCCCCTCTTATCTCATATCGCAGTGCATAAGTTAGACGACAGGAAGCAGCTTAATCGTAGATAACAAACAATCTCTTGTAATTAACTTGTCACAAAAACAATACAAAGTATTTTTGCAGTTTATTTGTCTTGCTGATCCAAGCCAGCAACATATGGCACTCACAGCTCATTTGTAGCTATTAAGCTGACAACGGCCTTTTTTTATTTTGTCTTTCTACTAGAACAATAAAAGTGAGCACAGACAAAGGAGTGAAGGAAGGTTTAGAAACATGCATGTGGACCCTCTAGCATAGATGAAAGAACACAAGAAAGAAGCACACTAACATACGCCATATGAAGGATTACATAATGCATGTATGCCTGTATGGCTTAAGTCCCTTGTTGGTCAAAGAAACTCAACAGATTTACTTACTCTAGCTAGATTAGATAGGTAGAGCTGGGGTAACAAACAAACTACAGGCAAATCCAAGATATGTTCTAAGATTTCTAACCGTAGACAAAAGACAGATCTCACAGCCTAATGCTTCATTATAAAAGTGTCAACAAGATATCATTACCTACTAAATATGACATGTGAAGGTGTCACAAGGTCAAGGTTTAAAATCTTGGTTTACAGGGATATAGTTGTCAGCATTTGCACGTGTTACTGCATGACAATCTACTAACTGCAGCAACAAGCATATCCGCAGGAATGGCCAATTCAATATCACGGTCAGTTTTAAATTTTGAATTTGAGATTTTCAAATCTGTACGATATAAGATGTCAAATGAACCAGATTACCAGAGTTATACTACTAGTCATGTTAATTAACTATGAAAATTGACAGCAGAGAACTTTAAACTACTTTTCCTCCACATCTGTAGCTAATACATTTTGTATTATAGAAGAAGATGAATGTTAAAAGTTACTTACACTGACATTAAGAGCTGGTAGCATCATATACACTATGTTTGAGCCTTTTATGATGCAGCATGCACACCATAGTATTAGCACTAGCATAATGCATATTCCAAAATTTCAGAGACAGGTTTCAAAGGTCACAGAGATTCTCCTACAGACTAAACAAGGGGGCAATACATCTAGATGGTCAGCATGTTGCATAGCACAACAGGATGAAGAATCTGGAGATGCAGACTGAAACTTACATGGAAGATTATCAGTGATATCAACTCATATCCATATCTTAGAGCTAAGTTCAATTCTTAGACTAAATTAACAAGAAGAGGCATGGCCTACGAAGAGCTAATTACCTCCAACAAGTCATCAGCCTGATTTGCTATATCAAGAAGGTTAGCACCAGGAAGATGAACTTTCGTGCCGTTTTCACCCTTGAATTCTCCACCTCCAGCAGCCACACGGCGTAGCAACTCGTGTCTGCTCTCCTTCTGTGGAGTTCTACAAAGTAGTCCAACAACTTGTACCTAGATATAAAATCAATGTTTGTTACAAAATGCACGTACATGAAGACAATCACCATAATGTAGTACTGAGAGCATAGAATAAGAGACTATTCTCACATGTGGGGGGCATTTCTTCGTGAGATGGGATAATACTGTTTCCTTGATGACCTCCAGGAGCGCCTTGCGCTGACAAGCAACAAGCCAACAACTGAGTTTTTAGCATTTAGGAAGTAAGACCTTGAGTGTTACTATTTTGAGTAGTTTCATTTCTCAGGGGTGAGAAAGAGGTAACACGTTATGCTTTCTGTATATGCATCATTTTCTGACATACCTACTTCTAACCTTATACTCCGTATGGTTTTTTACATGAATGGAGAGACGTCTTACTCAAATACCTTATCATCCTCGTCTTTTTCAGCTGTTTGAATCATGTAATCCAGAGCCATCATGAACCCAGACTCCATTTCATCAACCCTCTTCCCAATAACTCCTTGTGCAGCCAATTGCACTGCAACTTCCTCAGATGCTTCGTCCATGTACATATCCTCTAGCTGTACCCATATCAAATGAATAATGAGCATTGTAACAATCACATTACTTATTTCTCACACACCAAAGCTATGCTTTACTCAAACTAGATTATATTGATTAGTTGATGTACTCTTTTGAATCTTAATCCTGAAAGTCAAAATTATGGGTATACTAGAATCTGATCTCAATTTCTAGCTCTTAGAAACTAATACATTGAGTGAAAGACTTACGTGAGGATTGTTAAGTATGTTAACAAACTCATGATAAACAAAATATATAACCTTTTGAATATGTAGCAGTCAGCTTCTTTAGGCGGGATGGCATGGTATTTAAGTTCTAATGTCACCAATCAAAGGTTAAGGCGTTGTTAGCCCGTTAGGGTATAGGGTTAAACCAATAGCGCTTCTTGCAATATGCCAATCATGTTTCTCCTAAATTGAGCTGACATAAAGGCAGTGCTTCTCAGTTCTCAGTTTATACCAAATTGCAAAACCGAACAAAACAATCCAAACACTCATCATAGCCATATAGGCAATACTCGTACTTCATACTCCATACTCTTACTAAAATTCTATAACGAATAGGCGAATAGCTTTGATTTGAAGATATTCCCTTCAATTTCAATAAGTTATTTTTGTTATATCGAAAATGTACACCAACTAGTTATCACTTCTACCATTCTATAATGAACAGTCACTAACGGATGTCACCACGCAATAGATAGGATTCCGATTCCTCAATTGATTAGTTCTCCGTTTTACAGCAACAATCAACTTTATACCCATTATCACAAACTCATACACAAAACTCATTTCAGGGTTTAGGGTTTAAGCAACAAACATATAACATCAACTAAATATAACATCAACTAAAAAATTAACACTCCTGCACATGTTTAATTGTTTCTCACTCGTACAATAACCTAAATTCCAAGCTCAAATCAACAAACAAGCTTAAAAAAAACACCCATACACAACAATAAAATGAACAAGATATCAAATAATCATATAAATCGACAGTTAGCAACCCGTTTAGTAGACGGTAATAAATGATGGTAACGGGAATGGATTTAAATGTAACTTCGCAAAGAGTATAGCTAGAAGGACTCACAAGGGTGATTATTTCTTGAAGAACAGAAGTAACTTGCTCCCCACCTTTGAGAATAGCTTCATACTGAGAATTATCGGGTTTCTCGCTAAATTTATCATGGTTATCTGTTGTTCTGCTTCTTGTTGCCGGGTCCGATTCAGGGTATCCACCACCCACTTCATAGCTGGTGCATAAAGATATCAAATGGGGTCTTTTTTTACCAATTTGTGGGTTGAATTGGGAGGAGGGAGGTGAAAATGGAAGGAGGGTTGAAGGGGAGGAGAGAGAATTTGTGAGTGAAAATGGCGGGATTAATGAAGAAGAAGCCATTGCTGGAATTTGCAGGATTTTGGAAAGGGAATTGGATAATGAAGAAATGAGAATTATGGGAGTGAGAATGTGAGATGTTTGGGGATTTTTGAAGGGTTTTTTATTTTATTAAAGTAAGCTTACAAGAAAATGTTGTATGTGGGAATTGAACCCACGGCCACATGATAAAACAAAAATAAAACAAACCAAAAAATAAAGGGAGGTTTAATATCAAATGTCATGTCCAATCCCATAAAAAGTCACAGGCTTGTCGGATTAAAGCGGGCTTTTTGATCTTTTTCAAGTTAAGCATGAACTAAAAAAATGTTTTTTGCTTGCCCAAAGCCGTCTCATAGGATAGGTCAATGTTGTACACTTTTTTAAAAACTAAAAAAAAAAACATTCGCTCTTGAACATGTATTTTAGGCTTTTATGTAAGGTGGGAATACGTTACATTTTGACTTGTTTTTTCACCAAATTAAAATGAGAATTTCTACAAAGTATATAGCAAGGGATAGATCATTCTAGCATGACTTTTATAAAGAGATGTTTATGATATGTCTCATCCAAGACTTTTATTCAATGTTAATTGAATCAATAAACTAACCCAATTGATTAGCGTATTTGCTGAGAATTTGTTGATTGTATTACATGGGTGTAGTTATGAATTGTGTGTGACATCATTACATTTATCCAATTTCTGTATACGAGATTTTAGATATACGATGTAGATATATGTTGAAGGGATATTTTCCAATTACTTCACCTTAAACTTCTAATAGAAATCATTTCATCAATCTTTAATGTAGTTGCAAAATCAGTTTGTGTTTTGATTTATGTGCCCTTGTATGGTTGAATGGATGTAGTACATTATTCACTCTATGAATTTTTGTTTACAACTCATCTTGTTAATAATGACTCTGATACCTATATATTATTTTATTTTACGTTGGAAGTGAAAAATAGTGAGCTTGTAACTTTATAACGCAAGCTAGCATGTAAATGCAAGAGGTGTGGTATACAATGTAGTTCAATAAAATCTTCAAAATTTAATGAATTAACAAGTTAAGCATCCTTTGAGTAAAACATATTACAAATCTATGATATCCCTTTATTGTTTAAATACAAAATTCAAACTTTTAATGGCTACACTAGATTTAATTACAAGTTGACCATGACATTTGGTAAAACTTTTGCGGTTTTTGTCAGTAGTGGAAAATTGACCTAATAGTTAGGATTATTAAAAAATAAACTTTAGTTGGGATTATTAGAAATAAATCACTCATAGTTAAGATTATAAAAGTGTATTTTTTTCCTTATCAAAATACATCCTATGGAAAGTGGGGCACTTAAAAAACGAAGGGGGTATTTTTCATGTGTGCTATGTTGGTCAATCAATAATGAACTAACGTATATGACCAGCAACGTTATGCAGCATGCATATCCAATATCGTGTCAGATTATCATGATATATATGGTTGTCATTGCCGAGTGAATTACATGTGTTCAACACATGAATTGCATGTACAGTTGTATCCAACACTATGTTTCATCAATTCGCGTATATCAGGAGCGTGGTATATATTACCAAAAGAAAGAATATATGATTTCCAATTAAGTCTAAATGTTATAGTAGAACTAATTTAATCAACGGTGATTTCACCAAATTCCATTAAGTTTTATGAAAATCACCAAATGTCGTTAATGACAAACAACTATAACCTCGGTTAGCTATTAGAATTAACTATGACACGTGTCATGATATGATTGGTTTCTTTTAATCATTTATTTTTAATAATAATAAAAATAACATTATTTTTTTTATTTTCGTGATGAAAATTATTTGATTTAGATTTTTTGGACCATTTATAGACCTGAATTAACTCATATGGCCTGTTTTTTCAGCTTAATTTCAGTCCATTTCAATTTCAATTAGTTCAGTTTAAATCAGTTCAATTCCTAATTTCTTCCTATTATAAAATATTCATTTCAATTCAATTCAGCTCTAATTAAAACCAGCCCATAATTGACAAAAAAATAACGTAATTGCTATGCTATGTCTAGGATTTTAGGACGAAAGGAACTAAAGAGAAACTTTTAACCGGGTTTGTATTGATGGCTAATTGGCTAGTAAAAGCCAGACCAGCCCATTAACAACAAAACTAGCCGTTTACAAAGGTGGGCCCAAACCCCAAGAAGAAACCAAGGGTAGGTCACCTACAATAAATCAGTCAGTATTTTTAAATCTCTATTAAAACCAACTTCAAGGGTAAAACCGGTAAATTCTCATAAAACAAGGGGCCAAGTAATAAAATCATAAAATACCCGGATTAACTCCTAAAAATCCCAAACGGTTCCGCTTCCCCGCTTCTATATATACCCCCCCACAGTTGGCCCTCACTTACCTCGTTTACCCATTTCTCAGTTCAACTTTTTATTTTCCCTCTCCTCCATTTTCGTCTTCCTCTTTTCTTCAATCCTCTTTCTCTCTCCTAGGGTTAGGGTTTCTGCACATTTTCTCTCTCCTCCAAAATTCTGGAAATGGCGACTGAGGTTCAGAACGGAGCTGACAACAACGGTGCTGCTACCACCGTTACTTTCTCGGCTTTCAAGCCACAACTTCAGGTTCCGGCCCCTAACGCTGCTGCTGCTGTGCAGTTCTACAAGGCTGCGTTTGGCGCTGAGGAAGTTAGCCGTGACATGCACCCTAAGAGAAAGGCTGAGCAGGACACTCCTCTTGTTCTCTCGGCTGATCTCAAGCTCGGTGCCTCTGTTTTCTCCGTCTCTGATCTTGCTGTTGATGCTCCGTAAGTTATCTCTTCTTTTCCTTTTTCCTGTAATTTTTGTGATTTGATGGTGATTTTTGAACGATGCATAATTTTGTTTGTTGATGAAATGATCCTCTTATTTTATCGTCTATTTTCTTAATTATTGTAAGTTTTTTCCTGCATTTTTTCGTCATTTTATGTCTAGTGTAGACCGATGCATGATTATTGTGTGATTTTATCTGTACTTGATATTCTTCGTTTTCCGTCGATTAATCTTCTTATTTTTAATTTTGCGTTGATTTGTGTGCTATCGCTTAACAGACTATTTTCAATCTCCTAAATTATTGTATAATTTCACGTCAAAATTCGTTTTCCGTCAATTCATTTAAAATTCTGCGTCGATTTGTGTGTTTTCGCTCATCTGCTAATTTCTGATCTTCTAAATAATTATATAATCTCACGTCAAAATTATGTACTATGTGATTTTGTGTCTATTTGTTGCGATTGCGATTATTTCAATTTCATCTGAAATCTTTGTTCAACATCATTCAGAATTCGCTTTTCAGAAAGCGACGTTCCAACTTTGCTCTACTTTAATTTCTCGATAGCGTTTTAATTTTCACCTTTATTCTCTCATATGTACCGCTATTTTTTCCACTGTCCTATTTTCCATCTTTTCTATGTATTAATCTTCAGATCTGTTGATTTTCAGCATCAAAAATATTTTATTAATTTATAATATTATTTTCTAGATATTTTAAAATATTTTTCAGTACGTGTACTATCTGATTTCTCTATCCGAAACTTCTTTTTCTTTATCCGTACAAATTAATTATTATTGTTTTGTTTTATTTTATTTTATTTTATTTTTTATTTTCTTTTGGAAAAATCAGGGCGAAAACTGAAGGAGGAGGCCTAGTGTTGAGCTTGGTGACCGATGACCTAGACGCAGCGATTAAGAAGGCAGTAGCAGCTGGTGCAGTGGCCGAAGGCGAAGTGACAGAAGACGAAGTTGCTGGGCGCGTGGGCAAGCTCAAGGATCCCTATGGTTATTTCTGGGTGATCTCAACTCCTGCTGCTCCTGCTAAGCCTGTTGAGGTGGAAGCCTAATCAACCGTCTGATCTTGATTGATCTCTGCTAATTGTTAGGTTGTCTTTTAATGTTAGTAGTTAATTAGCAATTAAGAAAAAAAACAAGCAGTAGATGAAGAAAATATTAAGATGAATGAACAGTTATAATCATCCCTCTAGTTTGCTGGGCGTAGTTGTGGTAATGTTGATAGCGTAATGCTTACTACTCTCTGGTTGTCTTGTCTCCTGAATTCATTTTGAATTTTGAATGGCTTTTTGATGGGAGGTTAGAACAAAAAAAAAAAAGGAAATTTACTCTTGTTTTTTGAAAGTCAGTCTTTAATTTTTTGTTGTTATGTTCTCTAATTGTTCTTCGGGTTTGTTTTAATTTTCACTAGTCTTTTGGTTTGATCTTTAGTTAATCGTCTGTTGGTTCTGTCTCTGAATGTTCTTCGTGTTTTTGTTTAATTTCTTCGTCGTGTTTTGTTTTAATTTTCTGTTATGTTTCGGGTCTGAATGTTCTTAGTGTTTTGTTTGTGTCTAAAAGTTCTTCGTGTTTTGGTTTAATTTCCATCTCTTTTTTGTTGGCTCCTTGTCAAAATAATGTTGATGTTTATTCTAAAGATATGGTTGTGGACTTGTGGTTATGTTGCTTTATTAAATTGTGTGATTAAGTTTGGAATCAAAGCATCGATGAGCGGAAAAGGTTTTGGGGGACTGTAATTAGACTATTGTTAGAGTTAATAAGATAAAATAAAAGTAATTCGAATTTTCTTTTTGTCCTACATATTCGAATCGTCGTTGAGCGTGACAAGTCCTTTAATAAATATTGTATGGGGAAGAAGCAGAAAAAAAGTGATGAGGGGTGTGAAGATGTACTCGACAAATGAATGTGCGAAACGTGTTACTGTTTATTATATCACGCGCGTTGTGATTGGTTGTTTATAGTTTGAAAAGTTGATTTAGTGGTCCCCACATTTCGATTTTGGACTAGTGTGTGTAGTGTAGTGTTCTGCGTTGAGTGATGGATCGTTCTTGCTCTTCTGCCACTCCTCTTAAACTCTGCCATTTCATTTCCATTTCTTGAACGACTGTCTATACTTGTACGAATTACATTTACAGTATTTATTTTCTCTCTCCTTTTTTTTTTTTTTTTTTTTTTTATTGTATTTAGAAATTCTGAAATTGTGAAGCATTTCTTTGGTTTTGTGTTGTTTTGTTGTTGGATTACAAGGTTTTAATTTGCTTTTGTTAAGTATCAAAAGAGAAATTACTCATCTTTTCTGGATCTTATCAGTTAACTAATTTGCTTTCTTGGTGATGCAACAAAATCACATTTTATAATGTTTGCTCTTTTAAAACATTGTTAAAATTGCTGGCCATATATCTCCAACCACTCTCCTTGAACATGATACATGTCAAGTCTACTGTCTCGTACTATTAATAAAGATTGTCTGCATAATCTTTAAATGTTCAAATTTATTACTAGTATTAATATATCTATCAAGAGTTTGCTTGGTGGAGATGGCCACAAAATTGAGCCTCACTACCTACGTATACAGTGTAAACCATCTTTGTAAAAAGACTTATTTAAGTGTTCGTGAGAGAAGTTGTTACACTGATGACAATTTTATTTTCTTATTTATTTATTTTAATTTAAAAGTGTTATTGCAAGTGGAGTTACTCAGTAGTTAAAAGAGAAGTAATAGAACATAACAACTCCGTAACAATATATGTTTTTTTTTAAAAGTGCTATTGCAATATATGTTAAAAGAGAAGTAATAGAACATAACAACTCCGTAACTCCATAACAAGGGCGGGTGATGAGAATCGATCCCAAGATCTCTTGGAACCGGGAGGGGAGCTCTGACCACTTGAACTATCCCTCACTCTCCCCCGTAACAATATATGTAGTATAAAATAGAAAAGATAAGTTACGAGTATGATTAATTAGATATCACATGAAATTTTATCACCTTCCATAAAATAAATGTTGAAAACAGATGAAAATTTGAGTGCTATCAGGCTACGAGCCTATGCCTTTTTTGAATAAGAATGAGTAGTTCATATTCATAATGTGTGTGACGACAATCTTTTGATGAATTTAAACAAAATATTATCGAGATAAGAAAGTACTTTAAATGTAAATAATTAAACTAAGAGGTCCAAATAAGAGTGCAAGCCTTAAGGAGTGGTTTGGATAATATGGGTTAGTTTGTCCTTATCTTTGTAATCTGTTGATTTATGTACTAATTCTGCAATTTGTTTAACATAATAATATAGTACAGCACTATAACCTACAAATGCGACGTTGCAGACCTAGCAGGGATTATAACATTATTTACATTATCCTACAAAGTTTCTGTTATTATTATAACAATTTTAAAATTATAATATTACTAATTACTATAGTAGTCATCTTAATTGTTATAAAATGCATTAGCTGAATAGCAGTAGCTCACTAATTACGAGTATTTTTTAAATTGTCAATTTGTATTTATAAATTATTTGTCCTCCCGTAAGGATAAATTAAGATTAAAAATTGGTAAAAATAAAATTGGTCGTTGGTCGTGGCATCTTCACTGTCGTCCAACCTGAGGTCAATCCATTTGGTCGTTTATTAGCACTACAAATCAAATTGACGAATATTATTTTATTACAAAGTCCATTTTTTTTTTTCTGGTCTAAATAAAAATTAAAAACAAAGTCTATTTTGTAGCTTCAATTATGAAATTCACTAATTACATACTCACATGCTTGGCTATTATAAAATGAGAAGCTAAATTCCTTCACTAAAGTGCTAATTATGTCCACTAAATTGGTAAGGAGTATAGATTAGTGAATGTGCATCTTTCAGCTTGTTTACTGCGTTATCATGACAGAACCAATTGTTGATGAACACATTAGGAGAATAATCAAAGAGTTGTGAACACTTTGTTCTTTAATTGATTAAGTGAATATTCAAATACTTAGTTAATTAAAGTAAAAATCCCGTGGGAAATTGATGAGTGGCAACAACACAGATTATTTTGTGATGATGTGCTTGTGAAATTGATTATGTCATTCTCAAATTTATTGGAGGATGTGGGTTAGATGGACAAGTGACTATTGACTTTATTAGAAGTTTTGAAAAATAAGAATAAACCTTATGACGTGATCATTTACCACATAAAAGTCTCAACACATAAATGCATGTAAATTGACTTCGGGGGTTGTGTCGAGAAAGACCCCTTTAATGCCGAAGTCAATACAGTGTTTATACTGTTTAAAGAGAGAAATCTATGTAAGAGAATTAATTGTTTGAGGCTATATGTGAATGAATGCAAAGTGGGAGAAGTGAAGACTTTTATACCTTAACACAATTGGAGACATGGGCCATAAGTCAAGTGGGCTTGCCACGTTGACCGGACCGGACGGCTGATTTGACTTGGCATGAATTGGAGGATTGGACCTTTGACATTGGGCTTATAATTAAATTATTTATGGACCGGCCCAATTGACATAAATTGGACCCAAACACTATTTATCGTGTCAAAAATTTTAAAGGCGATCCATGCACAATTCCATGCCACACATCAATACGTCACCATGCTTAAAGCATATTTCATTGTCCCCAATGGAGGGAGTACCAATAGTCCAAGACTAGAGGCAAATAACAATACTACCTCCGTTACATATTATGTGCAACGATTAGACATTTTCCCTCTCTGCTTTATTCAAATCGTTGCACATAACCTGTAACGGATGTAGTATTACAAAACAATAACTTTTGTATACTTCCGGTGTACAATATCTTACTGTATATCGGGGGTCACTTTTATAAAATTTAGGGTCAATTTTACAATTTTTTGGGTAAATTTCATCAATAAAGCATAAATACTTCATAACTTTTGCTCATTCTAGGGCAACTTTATAACTTTTGCTCATTTTATTATACATCCGATTTATTTAAAAGTTTGTCATTACCAAATTGTCCAAAATCCCAACCTACTAAAGAGTTGTTAGAGCTAAGCCCAAAAGGGAGCAATTAAACTCAGAGAACATAATCAATCTCAATCCATAAAAGTAATGAACATGAAGCCCAATTCCAATTACCCCCTTTAAACGCATCACTCTCTCTCTTCCCCTGCTTCTCTCCTCTCTCCATTTTTCAAACTCCATTTTTCGATTAATTATAAAACTTCAAAAAAACGCCATAAAACTCCAAACAATTCGAACACACTCACTCACTCACATTCTCTCTCATCATCTCAAATTCAATCAATCGATCCTCTATTTAATCGATCACAACGAACAAAAATCACTGGTTAATTACATTTTCAGGATCTGATGAGTTCCGAATTGTAGTTATTTCTTCGATTTTTCCAGAAATTTATTATGAGTGGAGCAAGATTGTGTGGATTGTTAGGGGAGCTAGGGTTTGAAGGTCACCAGAAATTGGACCCAGATAGCTTTGAATGGCCTTTTCAATACGACGACGCTCGACCTATTCTTGACTGGCTTTGCTCCAATCTCCGTCCTTCTAATGTTCTATCTCCTTTGGAGGTTTCTCAGTTACGTTTCTCTCACTTGATTTTTCATCATTGCTTGTTTGATTTTATCATATTTATGCTTCAATTGAAATGGGGTTTGATTTGATTTTGATTTAATGCCAAGCAAGACAATGTCAGTGTTTGGAATTGCATATGCAGTAATTTGTTGTGAAATTTGGAAAATTGTGATTGCAATTGGAAGATAATTAATTTTGTTGCTATTTAGGTGAATGTTTTTTTTTTTTTTTTTTTTTTTTTTTTTTTTTTTTTTTTTTGGGATAGTTTTAGGGCTTAAATGAATAATTTTAGTGCAGAATTAAGTGTTTGTTGTGGTGATTAATCAAATGTCTTCCTTTGAAATTATGGTTTGAATTTTGTTTGACCTAACACGGAGTGCTGGCTTGTCGCGATTTGAAATTGAGGTGTTGTTTCGTTAACATAAGAAAATGTGGGAATTGGAAAATCCTAGGAATTGTAATTAGTGATAGTTGTTTGGTTCACAAAAAAATGGTGGAATTTTTACTTCCCACAATATGTAGGAATCTAAATTCCTATGGGAAGTTATTTCCCACATTGCAAACCAAACAATTAGAAAAATCCCATGATTCTAAAAAGTAAGCAATTTAATTCCCACAAATTCCAACTTCATGTGAATTTCTACTTCCTTTGTCAACCAAACATTACCTGAGTTTGTGTGTAATTTTTAGGGAATTTTAATTATGTATGAGTTTAAGGATTTCTATTCCAAAATTGCCTTCTATTTTAGTTGGGGGAAAAATGTCACAATAAATGATAGGAAATTTAAGAAAATTGTTTGGAAGTCTTCTCCTAAAGAATAATTTATCAACACTTCAGGAGTGGGTTTAAAAACACTCTCCTTCTGAGTCCTTTTAATAGATCAAGACCAGCTGTGCTAGACATCTATAATGTGAGTTAGTGACCGACTTATCGAGTTTGTTTAGGTGGTAATAGACTAAGTGTGAGAGTCAAAATAGTTTGTTATGTGGTGAAATAGTGTATCTAGGTAGGAGAAAATAGAATAATGGATGGATGCATGCTTTATGGGGTATAATTCAGATAGTAGAGATTTCAGTGTAGCCTTGGGAGAGAGTGTCTTAGGTAATTTCCACTCTGTTCATTACTTAAATAGATTGATCCTATCCTAATTCCCAAATTCAAATTTGCACTTGCATTATTTTCATAGTTTTTTCTTGTTACTTCTCTCTGCGTGTGAGTATACTCTAGATCAATCTAGCTCTTAGCAGAACCACAACATGATAATTTAGTAATACACTCTGTGAACAAATGCAACTCATGCTTAGTCTAAGTTTTCCGGGAGAAGACTGTACCAACATGGCTTGGGCTTGCTGGTATCAAGTGAAAATGTAATAGTGGTCCTATATATTGTGTGATAGATGTAGTATAAATTTATTTGATTTTCATATTTTGCTTACTAATTCAAAAAACATTTCAATATATACCAGGTATGAGCAGTTTATACAAGAAGGAAAGTTCTTGGAGGTATGACCATAATGTCTTTTCTCTTGTGTGACTATCTGCTTGATTTTAGTTACTGGAAAGTTCATCATCTAGTGACGCCTTTCTTAGATGTGTCCATTTGCATCTTTTGTAGTATTCTGTGTTAGAGCATAATTAGATGGATACACTCATACACATGTGCTCTTCTGAAATGAAATAAAAATATCATACAGGACTGAAATTTTGATTTCTTAATGTGCTAAATTCAACTTTGGTTATCCACTGGAATCATCATATTTCTTTTACAGGGGGAAGATTTGGATTTCGCCCATGATAGTATATCTGCCTTTTCCGCTAGGAGAGACAATCAGGAGGCTGTTTTTGGCGCTGAAGAAGGGCTGAAGGAAATTAGGTATCGTGATAGTTGCTTTCCCCCAAATGCATTAAATTTTAGGCTTAATAAGATCATTTGATGGTGTATTCACTTATACTATGTTTGGATAACAATAGTGAAGGGAAAGGGAGGGGAAGGAAAAAGATGGGATGGAAAGGGAGGTGAGGGGAGGGGGAAGCTGAACATCCATTTTCCTTCCAAATCTCTCCAACAATGGATCCTTCCAATTCCCTCCCCTTCCCTCCTTGCATTATGTATCCAAATAGAGGATGGTGCATCCTTCCCTTTTTCTCCTCTTCCTTTCTCTCCATTTCTCTTTTTCCAAACACAGTGCTAATAAGTCTTGAAAATAGAATGCGTTGGTGATTTTCTCCTTTCTTGACTTATATATATATATGATTATCAAAATGACCTATGATTCTATTTGATTAAGTGATGATGCTATCTTTTATTCTGATAAAATAATAGTGAAAAGATTTTTGTAGTTTTTTCTGTTCCACGTAGCACCATATGACTGTTTATATGTGGTAAATGATAAATTGCACAACCCCAGTTTTCCTTTTGAACTAAGATCTCTATTTTGGTGTTGCCATCAGGATAATGCACAATCCCTATAGCAAGCAGTGTGCTGCAGAGTGTCCTATTTAGTTTGTCTAATGATATTAATTTGCAGTTATATTGTCTTGCATGGACGCCCAGCTTCTGTGAATTAATATAGTTCTTGACAATTTCACATTATGCAGTTTGAAGAGATTTGCAAGCTCTATGTCCAAATATTTGATTAATATTGTTATCACCAAGTAAAAATGTTTTCTAATAAATTTAATTGTATATCTGCTATCATAGTTGCATATAGTGCATGGTCAATATTTTATGCTCCATCTATAAAGAAAGAAGAGCATTTTGTGCTGTATGATTCCGTAACTTATTTCTGCTGTGAGTTTAGGGATGCAACTTCGGCATACAAAGCTGAAGCTCTAGAGCTGCAGAGACAGCTTAACCAGCTGCAGTCTCAATATGATACACTCACTGGCCAGGCTTCATCTTTGATCCAAGGGAAAAGAGCAAGAGTTGTAGCAACATCTTCTGTTACAGGACAACTTAGTACAATGGAAGATAGCCTTTCATCAAAAAATGTGGAGGTATGCGTACTGCTCTGGTACGAGATTGTGAATGGACTAGTTACTTGATATAGCTAAAAGATTGAGGTTTCTTGTTATTTACTTTTCTCTTGTTGGGCGATATTCCTCCTGTTGGAAGACTTTACTGGCATTGAGATTTGTTGCCATCCATGTCTGCAATTGTTTTATGTTGTTTCATTGTTTATTAGATGAATGCAGTTCTTGGAAGGATTGCTTCAACTGCACAGGAGTTGGCGCATTATCATTCTGGAAATGGTATATATCTGCTCTGTCTTTTTAACTAGTTCGATTTTCATAATATTTTAATTCCTTCTTAAAATGTTAATAGGAAAGGAATTAGTTTTTGGAACTATGACATTATTTATATTATACTAGTATGAGCCTTATGACTTTATGAGGTATTATCTCTGAGTTCCTCAAGTCCTATTAACGTTTCTGAATCTGTCACGTGGTGATCAATCTTCAAAGCTCAATGTTATATATTGTTGTGTTGACAACCAGGCCTCCTAGAGTCCTAGGATGGATAATTTATGACTTTGACGAAGATCCAGTTTAAGTATCCAAAACTTATCATCTGATATAAGCAACCAAATGTTATTTAGATATGACTTTCATCTATGCTAACTCTAGCAGTTATACGCTATTCGTCAATAGGGCCCAAGTAAAGGGTCCTGAAGAGGAAAGTTTTTTATTCCTTGTGTTGAAGGTATAGGAATAGTTTATAGGAGGAAAGATGTGAACTTTTGATCAAAATCTCCACTTAATGACTGAATTTAACTCCTTTAATTTATTGAAGGTAGGAGTCAAATTACTTAGGGAAAACTATAGCAAAACTTTGATATTGCATTAATGAAGACATCTGTTGGCTATCTTATTGCTCTTCTGATTCGATTTCTACAACTAGGTTTTGTTGTTGTTGTTGCTGCTGCTGTTGATGATATGATCTGCTTAATAAAAGAAAAGGGTTATTTATACACAGTGCGCTAGGAATAGTTAAAGCATAAATAATTTCTGTTTACAGGGTGAAATAAATAGTTAGTTACGTATGTCAATTAGTGAATGGCTTCTATATCCCTATCCCCCAGTTCCAACTTGTAAATTACAAATTATGTGATGGGGTAAAAACAGAAGGTGTAGCCATCATAGCCAGGTTCATATTGATTGTAAACTTCTGCTGTGATGTGGCTGGTTGTTAATTTTATTTATTTTTTTTTTTTAAAAAAAAATCAATTTTTTAAATTTTGGCAGATGAAGGCATATATTTGGCATACTCAGATTTTCATCAGTACCTAAATAGTGACTCAGCTTGTTCAAAGGAACTAAGTCAGTGGTTTTCCAAGCATTTGGACTCGGTATGTATGACATGTAATTACGTATATATTGAAGCTGTTTATTTCAAATTCATGTTGCATCTCTAGTGCTATCCTTTGTTCATGAGCCTCATGGCTTATTGATTAGTGTAATGTTTGATTATTGCTATAAGGTCCCATTTCGGCTAGTTGCTCAGGATGGAAAAGCTAAATGCTCTTGGGTGAGCTTGGATGACATCTCGAATGTTCTCGTTAGAGGTACTTTAGTCATTTTTTTTTTCTTTTTTCCCCCGTCTTATCTCCTTTTCCTTACTCATAAAAATTGTAAGTGTTCATGTGATTGATATATAACGTTTACACATTTATAGTGGTTGCATGATAAATGTCGCATATGACTGTTAAATACTGTGACTCCCACTTCACATGAGACATATAGATCCCATGTTGACTTGTGGAACACGTGAGTGATTTGAAGATTATTTTAATTTCATGTTCCACGCTAAATTTAACATCAAGATTTATTGTTCATTGATATAAATTATGACAAGGAATTTCTATGCATTCAATGAAAGCACATGACTTTTTGGTCTTGGTTTGTTTATCTGTCTTTATTTTCTGAATTTTTTTGTTATGTTAATTGGGAACGCTTTATTTATAAATATCTGTAGACATCTAATTTCTGAAAGTATTACTCCTTTTGAAGTTCCAATTTTTATTTTGGGAACCCTTGGGCAACAACTTCAACTTTTTTTTCAGGATAGTGATATTTGTTTTGTGAATATGCTCCTTCACTTTGTTCAGTGATTGCCGTAATAAGTTTACCACTTACTTTTGATGGGGACAAGTGTGTAAAGTTTGGGAATATTATTCTAATCACATAGGGCACTGTTAAATTTCTATGCCAAAATCAATACAGAACTATAGTTTGGCAATTAATCTATTGGTCCATTGATTTGTTGCTTGATGAAAGCCTCACAGGTAAAGTAATGTATCTGCTATTGATGCTTTGTTGTGCCTTGTCAATCAGTGCTAGCCAAGAAGATGCTGATTTTAACCCTTCTTCTCTGTGTTTCAGATTTAGAAAATTGTCATCATCAACGTGTCTCTGAGCTGCAAAGACTTCGCTCCATGTATGTATACACATACTTCGTATGTTTTAGTAATTGATCTATTATCTTGGTGATAGTTAGTGTTTTGCATGGGATATGCTACCTAATTATAGCAACCTGTTCTTAATTTGATTTTCTACAACATACATTTTATAACAGCTATGCGGAGATTTCATTGAGACAGTGCAGTGGCCTACATTTCTACAATAGAGATGTTAAATAGTAATCTAATTTCCTTGTTTAGATAGTTGTCTACTTGTCTTTGTCTTGGGGGAGATGGAGAGTAAGGGAATCTCCCATTTTTATAGAAGTGCTATGAATTTGCCCTACTTGTCTTGCATTCTTGTTGTGGGTGAAATTTGAGTTTTATTTCTTTGTGGATCATTTTTCACACTAGTGCTGACCCCCTCAATTAATGTATGGCAGATTTGGGACAAGTGAGAAGCAGTGGGTGGAGGCTCAAGTAGAGAATGCTAAGCAGCAAGCTGTTCTTATGGCACTTAAATCCCAAGTTGCTTCAGATGAAGCTCACATTCATATGGACCTCCATTCTCTCAGGTAATAGGTCAATCTGGTTAATTTTTCTGTTTTTCATATGACATCAATAGTTTTTTTTTTTAATTTTTTTTTAACTTATTTATATACATTTGTTATTCTTTTTATTCTTTGGGAAAGGAAGGGAGAACTTATTTTTTGTCTTTTGGGGTGAATCTCAAAGGTTTGAATTTATCAATTTGTTTGCTCTTTTTTTGTTAAAGGATTGCTTAGCCATTGGTTTAAATGCATGTTGATTGATTTATGTACCTGTCTCTATCCCAGAAATGCCAGATTAGAAAGAGCTTTCTCTCTAGACTACCCTGCTCATGGAGATGGATAATTTGTCGTTAGAGAAACTATTAACTACCCAAAAAGAATGTCACAGATTGTATGCTAGACTAAAGTAGAATGTCCTGAACCCTAAAATAGGTTGATACTATATATTCCTTCCATTACGTCCACAAGAGTTGTCATAATCTCATGGTTTGTTCCAAAAGAACTTACTGAATTACTTTAATGCAGTAAAAAAAGCAGTTGAGTGTTATATCCCCTGACAATCAACGACCCTACCTAGCAAATAGTGTAGCGGGTATAACCTGATTACATGGGATTCTGGTTGTGAACTTAATTTGTAAAACGATTTCTTGAAATATTTTCTTTGATGGATTGGACTTATAGCAAATGTGACTTATGTGAGTTTAAAATGCGGATGTCTTTTTCCTATGATGACATAGTTGGATGGAGAGAGTGAGTTTTTAACTTCTCAGTTGCATAGGTGAGTTTCTAATTTGCATCATATCATAAAGCCAGTCACATGTTTTAATAGCTGGTTAAGTTATTTATTTATTTGCATGTTATTGCCTTTCTTAGCGTAGGTTGCTTGTGTTTGTTGGATTTATGGTCATACATTGGATTTAAAGGTTTTATTGTTTTCTTAAAAATTATTTTTATTTATATTTTTGTAATCTTGTGTACAAAAATTTGGTGCTGATGGGCCTTTGACGGTCTTGTTTCCTAGCCATTTGGGATTATTATACCTGTTGTGATATTCTTCTTATTTAGGACCCCATAGATTTATGAGGGATTAATGAAAGCAGGTCTAAAGTTTCTGCATCTTTTGATAAAACGAATAAGGGCATGTTCTGATTTACTAAACTGAACCGAACTGATTGGAGCTGAACTGAACTGAATTGTTTATGAGAGAAGGAAATCAGGAACTGAATTGAACTGTTGGAGCCGAACTGAACTGAATTGAAATTAAGCTGAAGAGAACAGGCCCTTAATTAATTCAATGACTTGCTTAAAATACATGTAACCTTGTTCTTAATTTCGAATTGTTTATGAGCATGCTGGTGTCTCTTGCATTTCCTTGTGGGCTCTGTGGCCAATTGTGGTGCTTGCTTGATAGTAGTATATGAGCTCATATGTACTTCCAATGGACAGGAGGAAACATGCAGAATTAGTGGGAGAGCTTTCAAATCTTCATCACAAAGAAGACAAGTTTTTATCAGAGGTTTGTTTCCTCTCAACAGGCATATTGTTCCTCTTTACACTACATTTTGGGGACAATTCTAGTGTAACTCCTTTACTGCCGTGGTAGATAATTTTTCTCGATGTTTTCCTGGACATTTATGATAAAGGAATATAGGGTCAAAGATATAATCATATAAGTTTATCTATAGCTTGCTTCTTGCCTGTGTCTTGAAAATTATGGAAATAGAGGGTGGGTATCTCTTATAATAAGTTGTAACTATGCTCATGTTTTTCTATGCCTTTAAAAGTTGAAGTGATCCAGAGTAATTAGGCTTGAATGAATACCCAAATATTACCACTTTATCCCACAATATATTTTAGTTTGAAGTTAATCCTATAGTCATAATGCAATACATTGCTTTCTCCAGCTTGTAAGTTCGTTGTTTTATCCATACTAAATCTCTTTTCTTTTTGACCCTTTTCTACCTAATCTGTGTAGACTATTCCTGATCTTTGTTGGGAATTGGCTCAACTTCAAGACACGTACATTTTGCAAGGTATCCAGTGTTTGAAATTTATCTCTTCACTCAACTAGTGGCTTACCCTAGTTTTCTGTCCCTTGATTTAGCTTATAGTTATTTGTTGTTTCTTGAGTTAATTAAATGCACATTTACCCCATCCATTGCAGGTGATTATGATTTAAAAATCATGCGTCAGGAGTTCTATATTAATCGGCAAAAGGCGGTAAGATGGAACGTTTGTGGAGTTGTAGTCATCTTTTTTGTTACTTAAAAATAAAATGCTTGTCGCCTGTGTTGCAACACTCAAAAGTTTGCAATACAAGGAGATACTGAAATGACCTTTATATTTTTGTCCAATTGCATCACAAATGAGGAATGAAATATTGCATACATCTATCATTAGCACAGCTCCCCCATATGTCCTGCTTTTTCTGGTGGGATAGGGGTTATGAGGAATCAGCTGTGAGCAGCTGAACATTGTGGCTGCAAAGAATCAAGGCTGACTTAATGGCCAAAACACGTGCACTTAGTATATGCTTTGTTGAAATAGGCAAAGATGGAAGAACATCCTTCTCTAGTCAATTTGAGCATGTACCTGTATATAGAATTATTATTTTTTAAGTTAACTACAAAATGTAAGGAAAACTTATTTTAATGCCTGGTGGATTGTTCTCATCAGTTCCACTATCAGTTAATACTTACAATTGCCAAAATAATCTGTTCTTATGTATGGTACTTCAGTTTGTCCTCCAAAAGCTTACCATGTGGTGAACTGGATGCTAGCCATGGATGTCCCAGAATACAAAACCCGTGGACCCTTCCAGTGGTCATTGTCAATTGATGGGGATTTTTTTTTTCTTACACTTTTGATTGATCCTTACATAATCTTGAACTTTGTTAAAGCATCTCCGTTTCCCTTTGTTCCTCTCTTTTCTGCTGCTACATTAGACTTCTTCTGAATTCCACAAATAAGGAGCTTACGCGGTGATAAGTGGTTTATATAGCATTTTTTTCCTGAAACACAGTTAATTGCACACTACTTTACAATTCCTTTCGGAGTTATGCGTTCAAAATTCTGTTCTTATGTAAGATTTTTCTGAAAAGCTTTGTACTTTCCAATGGAAAATTGTGTTTGTCTATGAATGAAATTGCCCAACAAGGTGGAACTGTTGTAAGGGGGCATTTGGTTCGCGGATTATAGGTATTAGGTATGGGTTTAGAATGACCAAAACCCATACCATATGTTTGGTTGTCAAAAATATGATTTTTAAACCCATACCTCAAACCCATGAGGTATGGGGTTTAGAAACCTTGGGGGAAAGGTGGGTTTGGCTCATTCCATTCCCTTAGGTATCAAATATATGAAATTAAGGGGATGATATTTCTTTCCAGAATTAAACCAAACACATGGTATTAAGTATCAAGTTCCAACCCGATACCACCTTAACCCTATTCCTGATTCCAAACCTATACCACTCTGCGAACCAAACGCCCCCTAAGAGTTATGTAATACTTGAATTGACGTATCATCTTACGCTATCGTACTTGTTCTTTAGGCTTGGATAAATTTCTATTAGCCAAACAATTGTCGGTTGTTGCCTAGGGTACAACTTGGTTATTAACTTCATATTGTTTTTGCTTTTATTTTTGGCAGTTCATCAATCATTTGATTGACCAGCTTGCAATACATCAGTTTTTAAAGATAGCATGCCAGTTGGAAAAGAAAACAATGCTTGGAGCATATTCATTGCTTAAAATTATCGAGTCAGAACTTCAGTCATACCTCTTGGCAACAAAAGGACGAGTGGTATGTTTCATTGAATACTTGTCATGATTATATATGATCGCAATTGGTGCTCTAACTCAATAGAGAATATACTAGTAGTACAATTAAATTTCTTGTTGCTGTGGATAATGACTTTAAAAACCAGTATGAGAATAAACAACTCTGCCGAAAATATTATCTATTGTACTTGGTTCCTAAAGAAATCTTGTTTGAAAAAGTCCAAGCATTACTCTTAATGAAATAACAAAGGTAATGTACTATGAGTATGACAAAGGAAAAAGTGAATCAATTATTTTTACTTATCTGGAGCAATAGACGATATTTATTTATTTCGTATTCCTTTATTTAAAAGATGAGGCTTGGTAATATCCATGATTGTGTATTCCATTGTCCTTTTGCTGGCAGTGTGGTGACTGGTGAATGCTATTCCACACCTCGTGATCATATAGTAAGCTAGCAAGAACGCCCCAAAATTGCTTTGAAATATTTGTACTACCTTTACCTTTGTTCCTTTTTATGCAGTCCTTTTTCAGCAATTCGTTAGAGTTATTTACACTTACTCTTTCATCCATATTTGTAACGTTCTTTTTTTTTATTTTTTTATTTTTTATTAAACCTTTTTCCCCTGCTTACCTTACATGCAACACTCTCCTACATTATCTTACACAAATCCCACCTACAATACTCTCATTTCTGCTTCTCACATAAACCTCGCTGATAATTCTGTATCCCCGACTGTTTGTTACGCATGGTGCACCTTATACACCTCTCTTTGTGCAAATTTTAACTGTGATCAACCTAAAGGAGCAGAGGTAGTTTATGATTATGACGAATGTGATCTATTTTGCTTATCATGTTCAGTGGGTGAGTAAAGAAACCTTGGGTGTTTGTTCATTTATTCTTGCCATGTCCTAATAATTTACTACTCTGGACCTGTGTAGGACTTATTTTCATTCCAGGATTCATGTCTTTGTTTCATGATGATATTGTTATCTTGACAGGGTCGTTGTCAAGCCTTGACTCAAGCTGCATCTGATGTACAAGAGCAAGGGGCCGTAGATGACAGGGACAATTTCTTGCATGGTGTTAGAGATCTTTTAAGCATATATTCAAGTAATCACTTGCTCTTGTCAAAACTTTTATATTTTAGCCTCTTTCTCTACTAGCCTCAGCTACTCGGGGGTTAGGCTGCTTGCCTGCTTACACCTGGCCTCCATCTCCACCCTTCCAGACCTTTACCCCCAAGGCAGATTGCCAGTCTTGTTTTTATGTGCATGTTTGCTAATCTATGCATTTTTCAGATGCCCAAACTAGTGCCTCAACATATGTATCAGCTCCAGGAATTGTTCAACAAATATCTAGCCTCCAGTCAGATTTGACGACTCTTCAATCTGACCTAGAAAATCTGCTTATCGAGGATCGAAATAGATGCATCAATGAGCTGTGAGTAAAAATCTGCTATCATTCTGCAATTCCCTAATTAGTTTGAAGAAGTTTGCAGGATTTATCTATTGCTTTGTTTTAAGGGGCTCCCATCTCCATTTTTCAGTTGTACTCTAATTCAGAGTTTGCAGCAGTTGCTATTTGCCTCGTCAACGACAGCGCTTCCTGTACTGACACAAAGGGTATCTCACCATTTCATTTTTACTTGCCAAGCTGAATATTGCCCATTGCTATCATATATAGTCTCTCACTTGTCTTGGCCTTTTCTCAATACATCTTGACGTTGATATTGCATTTTTGTATGTGAATATACTACGATGGTCCTTGCTTGTGTGAATATAATGAGTGCTTTGTGACGCAGCCATGCTATTAAGTCTTCCAGCTGTATGTAGGTTTATTCCCTCCATCCTTCCTAATTGATAAACACAATAACTGTTAATGTGCACCAGGCTCACTGTTGCACAAGTTACCCTTCATCATGTCAATGTAGGTGCTTGCTAGACGAGCTGATTAAAAATAGGAAATTTTGTGAAAAACTACCTATTATAATCCAGAATTTGCGAGAAACTACTTATTAAAAAAAATGTTGTAATTGACTACCTAATTTTCAAAAAATGTTGTAATTTACTACCTTACGCCGGATTATGAAGGAGTTTGACCAAAGTTCTCCGGTGTTGACTTGGTCACGTGACCATCATGTGACACTTAATGACCCTTTTCTTTCACCAAGTGTCACGTGACCAAGTCAACGCCGGAGAATTTTGGTCAAACTCATTCATAATCCGGCGTAAAGGTAGTAAATTACAACATTTTTAAAAAATTAGGTAGGCAATTACAACATTTTTTTTAATAGGTAGTTTCTCGCAAATTCTGGATTATAATAGGTAGTTTTTCACAAAATTTCCTTAAAAATATTATAATGTCACTTGCAAGTCCTCTGTAAGGTGCGGTTTGTTGTGCATGATAAAATTAATCGTAATGCACTTTCTTCTGACAGCAATTGACCAAGGAGCTTGATGAAATGGAAAAGATCAATGCAAGACTCTCTGCTGCTATTGAGAATGTTAATTTTGAACATTACAAGAAGAACGAGGTAAAATTTTGGTGTTATGATAACTTTGTTTTCTCTCTTCATGTGTTTTTGTTTTCTTAATTTTATAAGAGTTTAAGTCTTTGGGCTTTTGGAACCATCAACTTCTTTACATATAATATATACAGTGATGCTGTTATTCATATAATAATTCAGAAGTTTGATTTGCTGTATTAGGTTTGTGTTATGTGCTATCCATCTTTGGATTTAGATGATAATAAGTCATGCATGCTCTATATAATGAATGTGTAGGATCAGACCTATCAGTTTTCATCTGAAACTTCATACTTTAGGGTTCAGTAAAAGATTCTGCAATTTAGTTCTTACACTCGTTATGAATGACTTGTCCTTTTTCTGTAGATTGTCAAACATCACACATCTGAGGTAGAGTTCCAAAGGCGTGTTTTTGTTGATTTCTTTTGCAACCCTGATCGTTTAAGGAGCCGAGTAAGAGAGTTGACTGCTCGAGTCAGAGCTTTACAAGCTTCATGATGTTCCTCGATCTCTTTAAGCGTGTATGTAAGATTTATGGGTGATTTGGGATGTATTGTGTGTATATTAAGTTTTGGTTGGAAAGGTAGTAGAGAGTTTCACAGTGTTGTAAAACTTGCCTCAGTCAATATTAATCAATTACATGATGAAAGTGTTCATTTGTGCCCAAAAAACTTGAATCAAGTTTGAGATCATTAGACGTTTTTCTGCTATTCCGCCGAGTTTCTAACTTTCCATATTCATGCCGTATTTTGGAAATGCAATCTAAGAATTTGACAAGCCAAAGTCCTGTTGTAACAGGTCGAGGATCCAAATGTTATGTACTTCCTCCTGATTCTTCTACCATAAACCCGTAACTTTACTTCACACAGCCACAACCGACACCCCCCCCCCCCAAAAGCCATAAATTGGCCGTGTGAGACCTGCTTGGAACATATGACACTGACATCTATTGATTTATTATTATTATTATTATTGACTACTTATGAGTACGACTAAATGAAGGCGAACAACCCTATCAAAACTGCCCAGATTTAGATAGGATAGCTCTTAAACAAAGGTTTTTGAGGTATATTTTATATGAAGATAGAAAGAACCTTGCTTTTTGAGGGTTGGTTTAATTGTGAGTAATGCACCTGTGAGTCCAATCGTGCAATTATAAACTATAAAGCTATTTAGTTAGTTGTGGGTGTGCTTAGTGGGGACTATCATTCATCTTTGAACACTAAATATAATGTCTTTACTTTTTAACAAGGCTCTACTTTGGGGTTAAAAAGGGAACAAAGAAAAATTAAAATGACAATTCTTTAGCTTTGATGGCCTCTAAATATGGAGTATAAGGTTGCACTTCTTTAGATAAAAAGATAAAGTTTAAAATTCAAAAATGTAAAGATGAACAAAGATTCAAAGAAGCCTTTAAATTTAGCAATTGCCTTAGCTTTGATAATTTGGGGGTGCCTACATTTCTAGTATCCAAGTCTCTTTCTCTATTGATTTTCCTTAACTTTGCGCTTCAATTTCCAATAACTTGATTTAACAGGAGAAGATTCATATTAATAGATCTTCCTTTTTTAAAAGAGAAAATGACATCCATATTAATTACATAAACTATGTGAGAAACAGTCCTAAGATAAGATGTGTAGACTGTACCTAGGTTTTTTTATAAGAAATTTTCACTAACATACCTACTTAAATGTCAATAACCAAAGTGTCTAATATATCGTTGAATATATGTATATAGATATGATTATATGCCTTGAGACACACTACAATGTCTATTATACACTCGAATATATTATGCTTGAGGGGTTGATGGCGTAGGTGTTTGTAGAGGCGCATCATCCAAATGCAAATGCACTTATCTAGTTGTCTTACATAAATACTATGGTACATAATTACGTCAGCACCCATACTTCATAACAAGAGAAAGCAATATATTACAGACATTTTCTTTTTGCTTAGTTAGAATCCACAATAACTTCCATCTTCATGAAGAAGAATTGCTAAAAGACCAAAGCCAGGATAAAGATAAAGGGTTACCAATATCTCAAGTTGCAATTCTTTTGGAGCAAAATTCTTTCATCTTTTCATGTAAATGTTTGTGATGAAAGGTACATTTGTAAAGACCCTAAAATTAGCTAAACCATATTTAATACACGTACCATAATACATCTCGTGACATGCTTGTATATTAAAGTATAAAAGAGAAAAAAAAAGACTAAAAAAGAATGCGTAGCTTCTTTTGGAAAAGCTCCAATTTTTACCATTCAGAAAGTAAACTAGCCATAAATTTCCCCTTTCTTCAACTGAATTTTTTCTTTTTACAAAAGCATAAGTGGAAGAAAATTAATATTACAACCCATTTATATATATGGAGGAAATATTCGAAATTAAATCGCCTCGTTACACCCTTAATCCTCTTCATTAGCTCAAGGCTAACATATTTAACTCTCATGATTATATTTTGCATGCCGAAAATATTAAACTTCTCTTCCAATTCCTCAAGCTTTTAAGACTAAGCTATATTAATAATAAACCAGCATTATCTCTAAGCTGTATGATTAAGCACAAGCAGGCTGCAAACAGCTTGAAAATAGCCCAAATCCTTTCTTCTGCAATACAAAAAACCAAACAAAAAAATAATTAGAGAATAGCAAAAAAGGCAAAACCAAAAAAAAAAAAAAAAAAAAAAATCTTTACACTTTTGTAAAAGATGACTATGAAGAAAAATAAAACCCTATATAGGTAGCAATAATAAAGAATAAAATAAAAAAAAAAAAAAAAAAAAGTCCCAACTCTTTAATTTTTAAATTTTTTTAAAAGACATGATTAAAAAAACTAAGTTTCTTTCTTTACTCCTTTGTCAAAGATGACTATATGCAAAATAAAAAAACATAATTATACTAATATACTTAAAAATTGAAAAAAGTTTAATTTTCTTAAAAATTTAAAAAAGAGACATTAAAGGGAAAAAATAAAAAAAAATATAAAAGAAAAGATAATAAAGTGGAAAATAAAAATACCTTTCTAGGTTTGACATGGAGAAATTCAGGAGGAATTTTGTACAAATCTTCATCAACAGCCTTAGACTTCTTAGTTGGCTTTGGAGGTGAGATAATTGGACTTGGTGGTTCCTTTATATCATATGATGAATATCCTCCCCAATTATATTCTTCCTTTTCCTGTTTTTTTACTCCTTTCACATTCTTATTATTTGAGTATCCTCCTTTTCTCTGCTTTTTTTTTTATCAACCAATTACCAAACATTTTACATTTGTCAATTTATCATCATAATCAACAACTAAACATATTATTAAATAATGATATAATAAACAAGTAAAGAATACATATTACTATGCAAAACATTGGTGTTATTCAACATAAATCATCATCATGTTGTAGCACATGTTGTAACACTTTAAGTTGTTGCTTTATAAACATGGAGCATGCCACTACTTATCTAATTATGATTTAATTTGTTGATAGGGAGACTAATATACTGAACACTGGACACGGTTTTTTCGTGTTTTGGTAACACCACATCATCAATGTTAGTACAACAATATACTTTGTACTTTATATCAACGCTATCTTATCTATATGGTTGTGTGTGTATCTTGAGGATGAAATTATTAAGACATGAAATAATAGAATATGTTATATGTACTCCATTTCTAGCCACAAAATTCTATCCATTTTGTGATTTTAGAACTTCTCAATGATTGTGAAATAAACTATGATACGGATCCAACTAACAATCAACAAATTTGGCCTACAAGAATGGTCAATAATAATTGACTAAACTAGATAATTTATGTGCATTTTTACAACTTCATTCATACAACAATAGTATGCCACATAGTAGTAATATGAACAAAAATAGGTTAGTTATTGCCTTTCAGAATTTATCTAATGTCCAAGAATAATTAATCAATTAATTAATTTGGAAAATAAAAAGAATGTTAAGGTTTTTTCTATTAGATGCTTTTTAGCAGGAAATAGTGGCATGCAGACAGTGGGGCTAACAACAGTAGAAGCATTTATAATAACGGCATTTTAAAAATAACATTTTTTTTATTCATGGTATATTCAGTAAGACAATTTCCATTAATAAAATATCAATTCATAATTATGTATTAAACCATATAAATCTGCTTGATCAATTATATGTAGATCCAATTTTATTTCCCACAAAAACCACAACAAGACCTATCAACAAAAACGTACCAGCCAATTTCATTCCAAAATAATATACACGACTAATAATTTACATTTCATTTCATTTCATTTCAAAAGAGTATACGTGACTAAACGTACCCTGCGACGAGGAACAACGATGACGGCAGGAGTAAGAATATCATTTTGGTACAAATCACCAGCAACATACAAATCTCTATCTTCAACATCAGCAGAATCAGAATAAGCAGCAGCAAAACGAGCAAAACCAGCTTGTCTAGCACTCTCAAAACACTGCGTATAAGGCAGTTCATCTTCTTCATAATCCCACCCTCCAAATGCCGGCACATGATAATTCCACCTATATTCCTGTTAATTAACATCAAATTCAATTTATCATTACCCTTAATCATCATATTCATAAATTTTTTGAATAAGAAAGAAAAAGAAAACTTACATCCATTATTTCTTTTTTTAAATTAAGAGAAAGAAAGAAAGAGGTTTTGTTGGTGTGTTTTGATTTTGAGCCAAAAAAAAAAAAGAGATAGTAGGAAGTTTATAAAGAGAGTGAAGGAAGGAAAGAGAGAATGGGCGAATTAAAGAAAGAGGGGAAGAGGACAGATGAGGGGGGACAAAGTGGTAAGGGAAAGTAATTAGATGAAAGAGACAAGAGAGAAAGTAAAGGAAGATAAAAGGCTAGTTTGGAGATTAGCTTTATACACATTACTTTGTATTAACTCCACTCTATTTTAATTTTTTTAAATAACGTGTTGGCCTATTTGACTATCAAAGTAACTTATTGGGTACTTAGGTATGTTCTGATTTACTGAAAATAACTGAACTGAATAGAGTTGAAATGAATTGTTTATGAGAGAAGAAAATTATAAATTAAACTGATTAGAGTTAAAATAAACTGAACTGAAATTAAGGCCCTGTTTGGTTTGATGTAAAAGGTTTTCATAGAAAATGAATTTTTCATTTTTTTCTCATTTTGCTTTGTTTGGTTTGTTAAGGGATGGAAAACAATTTTTCCAAGGGTGGAAAATTTCATCCTTAATGATGGAAAATATTTTCTTTCTCAAAACAAGGGAAACAACATTTTCCTCTCTCCTCCTTATTTCTTTTTTTCACTTCCCTTTCATTCATCCTTACATTTCCACTCTTATTTTTTATTTTTCTTAGACTTTTCTTGTATGCAATCAAACAAAGGAAAACTAATTTACAATTGTGTTTTTCCTTGAAAATATATTTTCCATGAAAACTAATTTTCCATTGAAAATGTTTTACATTAAACCAAACGGGGCCTAAGTTGAACAGAATACACCCTTAATTACTTATACAAGTATATTTGTGTATAGATTTAGACTATCAACGAGTGTTTGTATCAGCTTTGATAATGTATTGAGTTTCAGAATTGGTTATGCACTTATGCAATAATATTTGTTGAGAGAGTTTTTTTTTTTTTTTCAATTAAGACTTGATTTTGTATTATTCAAACTCTCTAATATACTCTACATTATTGAATATGGTTGTCTAAAAAAATATACTTCGTATGTTAGGATGATGTGAAATCAAACCCCAATAAGAGTTGATCTGATCCTATAAGTTAAATAAACATACTTTCTATATTTTAGAATGTTTGTAACAATTTGACTTTATTTTAAAAAAACATTGGGCCCATTTTTTGTTTATATTACAAAGCTTATTTCTTGTCAAAATTCTAAAACTAGGATGTTAAATTTCTTGTTAATGTATATGCATTAAAAAAAAAAAAAAATAGGATTTTGAGATGCTAATCTGTATTACATTCGTGTGTATTTTTTCACGATCAACTTTTCCTAAACTTTGTAAATATGTACGGAGTAACTAAATATGTTGATGATCAAAAATACGTATTGAAGACCATGCGATGAAGTACGGAGTATAAAATAAATTTGGTTTGAGATGTACAAGTATCCATACTGTATTAAAAGAAAAAGGGAAAAAAAAAAGGAAATTGATTAGGCAATTAGTGAATTTCTCTTTTTAACTGTAATAATTTAAGAAACTTTGCTTTCAAAATTGCTGTGGGTTTTGAAACAGAGAAAAACAGAGCATAAACAGAGTGATGCAGGGGTGTGGGTAATGTTGGAATTACTCTAATATTAGTATATTCCAATACTCTTTTATTATTGGGGACCTCTCCAACTTTTTTTTAATTTCCTTTTTGTATTTGGTTTTTATTGAATTTCGAAGGTCCCGTTTATAAAGGGGAATCTACAGAAAAAATTCCCATTTTATAAATAGTTGAAAATGAGTTTCAGAAAATTGTATTGTCAACTTCATTGTAAAAAACACTATTAAGATTTGTCATTAGAATCTTATTAGCTTAACAACATAACACTAAGATAATACAAAGTAATTAACTAATGTGAAAGAAGCCCCTACTTTGGTTCTTTGAGCCCGTTACGGTATCCCACACTTACTACTTGCAAATTAGAGTGCAGGAATGTTGACTTGTCATAATGGGTCTGTTCACTTCAGCTTAATATCAGTTCAGTTTTAATCACTTCAGTTTAACTCAGCTCCTAATTTTCTTCTTTCATAAAATATTCATTTCAACTATATTCATTTCAGTTCAGTTCAATAAATATGAACATGCTCTAAGAATGTAATTGATTATTAATTTAGATTTCTCTAATAAAAAAAAAAAAAGAAATAAGCCATTATTGTGTGATAAATTTTAGGTAAAGGGCTCTAGGTAGGCATTGGCATTGAGCAACTAACCCCAAGTAGGGTTTGGACCACCAATAACCTCATATCTCAATAGTCAATAGGAGTTTATACCAAAATCAATTGGCATATTAAAGTTTTAAGTTGAAATATATACCTCCTCTTCCAATATTGAACAATATTAACGGCTCAACAAATTGCGATCTACTATGACATTTTACTACTCCGTATTATCTTTTCTTTTTACATTGTATTTGCGTACATTAACTAATTGTCTTCAACTATTTATCAAATGATATAGGCTCTTTGTAGTCCACTAAACTTATCGTACATGAAATACATATGCGGGTATGTTAGCGATACCTTCTCTTTGTTATCGACGTGGATCACTCATATGTACACTCTTATCATAAAGTCATCAACCCTACAAATTAATGGTCATTCTCCCATTGAGCTCAATTAGTACTGAGCACGGCTACTGTAACAGTAAAAATGAGTTGGAAAATCCAAAAAAAGTACAAGATTTGATAAAAATGACCACTGTAATGCTACAAATTTAACCCTACTGAGTACTTGATATAGAAGTGGATTTGGCAGAACTGTAATAAAATTAACTTTACAACTATAAAGTTTTAAGTTTGAACTGTGGGCCTTTCAAGAGAATGTTTGTCTTAAAAATGCAATTATATGAGTAGTACTATATTTCTTGTTATTTATAGATCGCAAATTAGAAACAAAAAACCCTACTATTTCGATTTAACTTTTGCATATTGAGTATTTTATACTTGTATGTAAAACTGAGATGATTATTACATATGTAGTAATGTACACATGAAAAAGTTTTGAAAACTATGTACCCCTCTCTAGTAGAACTAAGGACCTGTTCTCTTCTGATGCGGTTCCAAGGCATCAATATTGTTATTATAATTATTTTTATTGTTATTTTTAGTTTATTATTAGATGACCGAATTTATTAGGATATTTTTGTTAGTTTAATTCGGTTAGTATAAGATAAGCTTAACTTTAAAGATCATATTTGCAAAATATTATCTTTACAAGTTAGAGTTAGTTTCCTAGTTAGATTAGAATTTGTTTTACCGATTTTTAGGCTAATTATTTAGCTTATAAATACGTGATGGTGTTTAAAGAAAAGTATGATTGATTGATTTGAAATTTATAAAGTTTTACGTAAGCTTGTGCTTGTGTATTCTTGGCCTAGTTTAGGTTTTAAGCTCGTGTTGCTTAGCGTTTCTTGACCGAGACTCAAAATTCCAAACCTTTCAACTGTGATTGAAGGTTATATCCATCAAAATCCATATCAAATTGGTGTGAATGCTGTTTGACGAGGGACGAGTTTGACAATTTGTGTCAAAAAACTCAGTTTCGAATGTCATATTGATCGACTTGGTTCTCCTTCGTTTCAAAAGATTTTGAGGTGATTCTTTTTTTCAAATTGGTTAATATTTTGTCTAGTTTTCACCTGCAAAATTTGAGAACTTTTTGAGAAGCATAGCTATTAAACTGGGTTCGTTCTTTACACCTGGTCAAAAATCAAATTAATCTGCCATTGTTGAGAAAAAAAAAAACTGCGATTTCTTGGCTGGGAATTTTTTTCTGAATTTTTGGTCGAGTATTTTAGACAGATAGGGCTAGCAGTATCCAAAATTTCAGAATTTTTCGAGGTGTTTTCATTGGGTTTTGATCCTCGTACTTTCGATCAATTTCTGGACTGGTTTTGTGTGTTTTCTCATCCACATAAACATGGAAAATAAAAGTTGGTTTGAAGCATTTATGATGGAAATCAAGAAAATGAATGAATGTTTGGATAGAATTGATGCTCTCTTTCAAATTCATGACGTGAGATGTGGTGTACAAGATATGTCTTATGAGAAACAGAAACTAGAGCAACCAATTGTTGAGGCTATATACGAGGAAAAGCTTGTATCTTTACCGAGTGATAATCTTACAAATCCAATTTTAGAGCAATCTCATGAACAACTAGTAGAAAAAAAAGAAATTATGGAGCACAAAAGTGTATTTTTGTCTAGTTTTGTTGACGAGAAGGTTACATTTGAACTATCTAAGTTGGTAGCAAAAAGTCAAATTTCTACAACTTCCTTTTATGGTGATAATTGGGATACAAATATTTTCACGTATTATTTCCATTATATTGATTGCATTGACAAAGGTGTGTCATCAATTAAAATTTTGGAGCATTCAATTGAAGTTTGTGGTGCATTCATTGGTGTAAAATATAAGCATGACGTGGTTGGATGGAGACATATTCTTTAGCTCATGTTCGATTAATTTGGATGATATCTTGGTTCCATGATTTGCTAAAACTTGGGACAAGTTTTTTTTAAGAGGGGGAGTATGATGCGGTTCCAAGGCATCAATATTGTTATTATAATTATTTTTATTGTTATTTTTAGTTTATTATTAGATGATCGAATTTATTAGGATATTTTTGTTAGTTTAATTCGGTTAGTATAAGATAAGCTTAACTTTAAAGATCATATTTGCAAAATATTATCTTTACAAGTTAGAGTTAGTTTCCTAGTTAGATTAGAATTTACAAGTTAGAGTTAGTTTCCTAGAGCGCGTTACTCAACTAAAAATTATGAAATTTTATATGGTGATAGCTGGAAGTTTTTAGAGTTCAATGCAAAAAGAATCACGTACAAATTCCCAGCCAATTGTTCCCAGTTTAATTTTTGCCGAAGTTGCGTAACCTGGCTCTGATACCAAAGATGATGTTAGGAACCTTCGATTAGATCTTCCCGAATTCAATGGGCGTATGAATGAACCTGAAAAATACTTTGAGTGGATTAGAAGGGCCGAGACACTCTTTGATTACAAGGAGTATGATGAAAGGAAAAGATGCAAATTGGCTAAATTAAAACTGACTGGTTATGCTAGTCTTTGGTATGATAATCTAAAGAAGAAGAGGCATAA